CCTCCCTTCCTCCAACCCTTCAGGCAGTAAGGAAAAGGTTCATCCCTTCCATCTGGGACTCTTGGGCCTCTCACTGTCCAAGCTCTGCCCTGTGGCAGAGTACCGATCCTCTCAAAAGTTTCTGAGTCAACCATTGTGTACAGCACTGTGGGGTATACAAAAAGGAAAAGACAAGGTCTACATCCATCAATAGTGTAGCTACAGAAGACTTAGAAAATGAGACTTGAGCGTAAAGGTGATTTAGTTAGTTGTCCAATGTGTGGTACTCTAGATTCTGTAAGTTGCCATATGCTCATAGAAGGGAAAGATTATCCAGAACTTGATTATTTGACTGACAGGATCACTTCAGGGTGGGCCTTTTAAAAAAGAAGAGGAATTTGAATAATGAGAGAATAGGGAGCTATTTTTGGAATCTGGGAAAAGAGCAGACCGAAGGCCTGGAAAGAAGAAAAAACTATTTTGGGAGTTAATGAGAAAGCATGGCTGGTGTGGCCATTTTTCTTGCTAGAGTTAGTTTGGAGAGGTAGCTTTGGAAAATAACCAGTGGCGAGTGGTTGGTGAGTTTAGGTGGTGGTGTGACTGTTAGAAGCATGTGAAGTGGAGCCCATGACTTGTTGCAAGTGAGGTAGCTAATGCTTAAGTGGGCTATGGGAGGGATGGGGAGGAAAGGACAGGAGAGAGGTGTGGGAATTGGGGAGAATTCCAGAAGAGAATGATCTGATGTGTCCAGCTCCAGAGGGAATATGAGGAGCTGTTTGGTTAAGACTTAGCATGGACATCTATTTTTGGTGAACTATTTTTTGACCATGTGAATAAATAATGGGCGTGAAGGACAGATTTTATACTGGAAGTGCAGGTTTGGTGTGGAGATATCATTGTTAGGAAACACCTCAAATTAGAGAGGAACCATCCCTCTTATGGAATTTGAGGGGAAAAAAATCAGGGTCTTGAACCAAGCACCTGAGTAAGATGTTTCATGTAAAGTAATTTCCACACTTCTGTGAAGTAAATCTGTCACAGAACAGTGGGAGCCAGGGTTCAAGTCCACTTACTAATGGCATGATACTGGACAGGATACTTCACCTCTTGGTACCTCTTTCCTCATCTGTGAAATGAAGATGATAAAAAATACCTACCTCATAGGGTTATTAAGGGATTAGATACGTAATTATTTTGTAAAGTGCTTTAAATTTTTGCTTTTGTTACATGTGTTTCACGTTACACATTACACTTAAAATTTTCAGTTCACTAGTCTAGAGGAGATGATACGTAAAATATGTAGGACTGTTATTTATAAAATGAATGCCAAAATTTTGCATTTCAAGTTTTTGATCACTAATTTCACTGCAAGTACTTCAGGTGCTCCAAAATAGCTCCTGTCCGTGGACACAAATTGCACTTTTTCCTTCAATATACATACTTAATAATGGAATTATTAATAATGCACTTAAATATGGGCCAAAGGCTCCTCCTCCTCCAAAAAAAAAAAAAAAAGCAGCAAAGAAATTAAATGCAAAAACAAAACAAAAAAAGCAAAAAAAAAAAAAAAAAGAAATTAAATGCAAGAAGAACAAAAAAGGTGTGCCTGGATGGCTTAGTCAGTTGAATGTCCAACTCTTGCTTTTGGCTCAGGTTGTGATCTTAGGGTTGTGAGACCGAGCCCCGCGTTGGGCTCCCCGCTCAGCACAGAGTCTGCTTGGGATTCTCTCTCCCTCTGCCCATCCTCCTGCTTGTGTGCGCACACAAGTGCACACTCTTTCTCTCTGCCTCAAATAAATAAATCTTTTAAAACCATACAGTTTACATGGTACAGTATATATGGGTAACCCAAAGCCTGGAAAATGGGATTTTGTTAACAGAATTAAATATTCATAAGCAACTTTTGTTTTCTGTAAGTCATGCACTAATGTACATAATAAGTACCATAGAAATGTTTTTGAAAAGCAGAGTCTTCTGCACACCTTCCTAATGAAATGAAGACTCAGAGGACAGGGACCTGCCCACAGTGACCCACCCTCAACGGAGAGGGTTGTTGCTGATATGATGGCTCTTGGGGTTTTTTTGTTTGGTTGGTTTTGTTTTTTTTTTTTAAAGATTTTATTTATTCATTCGAGACACAGAGATAGAGAGCGCATGAGCAGGGGGAGAAGCAGAGGGAGAAGCAGGCTCCCCGCTGAGCCAGGAGCCAGACGTGGGGCTCGATTCCAAGACCCCGGGATCACGACCTGAGCCGAAGGCAAATGCTTAACCATCTGAGCCACCCAGGCGCCTTTTTGTTTGTTTTTTTGCTTTTATGATGGCCCTTGTTTATCTGACTCCAGTATCCTGGACCTCTTCACTCTTTGTGTAAAATGTGGACAAGGTGACCAAAGCATGAGTCCTGGAGGGGCATGAGAACCAGGATAGCACTGTTTTAGGAACACACAGGGGGGTTTTAGGGAACAGTGTCGTACTACAATTGGAAAAGTGAAAACCAGGAGAGAGCCCTGTGGCCATACAGCACTCAAACGAGGCCTGGGAGTGTCTGAAATTGCCGTTGTGTGGCCAGTGCTAAATGCAACAACGGAGACACTTGAACTAGCTGCTCTAGGGTAGTGGTTTTCACAGTGTCCCGGGCCAGCAGCATGAGCGTCACCTGGGAGTCTGTTAGTGCAAAGATAGGAACTCTGGTGCCTTTAGAGCATGTCAAAGGAAACATGGTGCTAGGAAAGTAGGGGGTCATCTTTAAATCACGTGACTAAGGAAGACATCTCAGGAAGTAACGTTAAAGCCAAGGCCTGAAGGTGGTGAAGGAACTAGGTGAGTGGGAAGGAAGAGCCCTGGGGAATGTGCAGAGGCCCTGAAGCTGGGAGGAGCTTGACATAGGCAAGATATGTGGCTTGAACTTAAGCAGGGGGGCCAGGACGCTCCAGGCTTGTAAGTCTTGATGGGGGTGGGACACAATTTGAGGAGCAATGGGAGGCCACTGGCATCTGCACAGTGGTGAGAATTGATCTGTTTTCATTTTTACAAAAATTGTTCTGGTTGCTGGGTGGAGGACACAGGAGATACTGAGAGAAGGGTTGAGCCTTGGAAAAGAGCTACCCTTCTTCCTCTAAGAAAATGTAGACTCCGATATTTTCAGGTGAAGGGGAAATGGTGCTCACATTGAATGGGGCTCACTCAGGAGTTTTGGTGCCAGACGAGCAGCACTAAGTGTTGAGTTGGTGCTAGCAATTTGTACTGAGCCAAGATGGTAGGATTTCGTGTTTTTGCAACATTAGGTTTACTGCCCAAGAGTAGGAATGGGAGAATTAGAACAATGATTATCCAGAATTGGAGATGGAACTGGTGTGCCTGGGGAGGGATTGACAGAATGTTTACAGCGGGAAGGGTATTTGGGGGGGGGATGGGAGCAGAAAGAACAGACCAGCTGCAACGGAGAGAAGTGCCTGTGGGGACTTGTTGAAGGTGTGGAAATGGGTCAGTGGCTGAAATGTAGATGATCAGCCTTGTCCAAAAACAAAAAAAACTCTTTTAACAGGTTACTTTGGATTTTCATGGAGAATTTGAAAGCAAAATGGCTGAACTCATTTTTAAATTAAAATAGAAAAAACTTTGAGTTCTCTTTAAAGGTTCTTGTGGCCTGATGCCAGAGATAGAAACACAAGTCAGAGAATGACCCACTAGGTCGTGACATGTTTGTTCACTTTTTCCACTTGAGATGGGTACTGCCTATTTAAAAAAAAAAAAAAAACTTAATCTCTACCCCCATCGTGGGGCTCCCGCTCACAACCCCAAGCTCCAGAGTTGCACCTTCCCCTAACAGAGCCAGCCAGGCAGCACTGCTTCATATTTTACCTCTTAGTTTGGCCCTTACGTTAGGTGCTCTGCTCAGGTCCTGAGTGCACAGAGCCGCTATAGGACTGAGCATAGTCTGGGCGGGCCGGGCAAAGGGAAGATAAAGATAGCTCCATTGGCCTTGCTGAATGTAAAGGAGGCCTGTGAAATTTTGGTTATTGCCCTCCTGTGGCCAATCCTGGAAACAGCAGCCGAGAAACTTGTGTTCTATTTTAAGTAATCTCCATGCCCAACATGGGGCTCCAACTCGTGACCCCAAGATCCAGAGTCTCACATACACTACTGAGCCTGCCAAGTTCCCCAAAATGAGCTGTTTGTAGTGTTTTGTTTTTTAATCTCTATACCCAACGTGGGGCTCAAAACTTCGACCTAGAGATCGAGTCACATGCTTTACTGACTGGGCCAGCCAGAAACCCCTGAAGACCACTCCTCTTAACCCATGCCCCCATAGCCCCCCTCCCTCCTCCCCAAAATGCACTATCCTTCTAATTTCTAGTTTCAAGAATAGCAGAAATTCCTATTTGAAGTTAATCCTGTCCATGTTCTGATCTCCAAAACCTGTCTCTCAGACCTTACTCCATCAACACAACACCTGTCCTTATGAACCCAACACCATCAGGCAGTAGGCCTAGTGAGGTCTCCTCCGCAGAGCCACTTTCTGGGGCAAGAGCAGCCTACGCTGTTCTGTGCTTCTCTCTTTGTCCACTGAAACTGCTCTTAAAAGGAGCCACCAGTTTTTTTTCTTCCCCCAGAAACTGCTCTGGGGGGGGTTTTCCTCCTTCCACTCTCCCTCACTTAAATTCCTTTCCTAGGCAACTCCACAGGGATGGTAGGTTCAACTGGAGGTGGAACGAATGTCCACCCACACCATTGGCAGGCAGCTCCAGTGATCTGTGAAAAGCTATTTCCCTAGGTCCCAAGGCTTGCTCAAAGAATGTTCACCCATGGGATTTACTCTGTACCTGTGGTCTTTTATGTTCGAAGTATTCCTTCACCAGTATTTCACTTAATACCCACACTGACCTCACAGCAAAACAAATGTTAGCTCCTCAAAGGGACTGAATAACGGATTCCACGGAGGGTTGTACTAATGTACTTAAGGCAGCAGACAATGGCTGGGTTTTTGTTTTTTTAAACAAAGAGCCCAAACACACTAGGGGTTAAATAAGCTGCTTCTCTTTCCACTGTTTATTATTAATGTACAAAATATACAAAACCAAAAGAAAAAAAATACTCATCCCTCAAATCCATCGTGGCTCTAACCCAAGACCCTGCACAAAAGCCAACCAATCCACTGTTTTCATAGAAAACAAACTGATGCCGAGACCTGGGAAGGAGAGGGCTGGGGAAGGGCACGTCAGCTTGCGGCACCCACCCAGGAAGGCACCTGGTGGGACCCGGAGGTGGCTGACGGCAAGGGAGCTGGAGGCCTCGCACCAACGAGGTTCCAGCTGGGGGCAGAGCGCGCCGCGCCAACTCCTGAAGGCAGTGCGTGTAGTGTGACTGTCAGGCCCAGAATGCGGGCAAGTTGATGGAAAGCTGGTCTCACTGAAGTGTTTTTACAAAGTTTCCAGAATGAGCTGCAGGCAAGGGCGGGCCACCACCCCCAGCCTCACCCATGCCAGCTAAAACTTCCACTGGATGTGGACGTGAATTGACCATCACTGAACCTAGCAGACCCATGATGCAGACCTGGGTGTTCACAGAAGGTTGCAAAGTCGTACTTGAGAAGGGACTCAATGGAAAGCCTGTGCCAGGGCAGAAGTGGGGAGGATGTATTCCAGAACTCAAATCCAGCCTGATTGAGCCCTCTCAGTGCAGTGGGGTATCTAATACCCCTTTTACCATCTCCCCACCCCATGAGAAGAATGAACTTGGCTGGGATGATTTCATAAGTGCAGCTGATCCCGTGTCAGTTCTGTGTGCATGTGGAGGACCCACAACAGGAGAGTAGAGGTGTTCTCCAGGATAACCAGCTTTAGGTTCTCAGGCATAAAGGGTAATACTGGAAAGGGGCTTGGGGTTATAGGGCAAATCTCCTCAAAAAAATGAAGCCAACTGGGTCTTCTCTTCAGCAGTCCAGGGTACAGAACGTATCCAGTCTCTCTCCTCCTCAGACTGGAGGAAAGTATGTACATCAATGCGCACCAGTGATCAGAAAACCCCCAGCAACCCAAGCAGGTGGGAACTGAGGGGGCCGGCTCCTCCTCAGCTGGGGACAGGGGAACATGGGCCTCACAGAAGCCATAACAGGGCGGAAGGAGCGAGGCTGCAGTCCACAGGGGTGTGTGTGGGTGGGGCAGAGGAGGCGGTCCCTAGGGCAGGGGGGGCCCATTGACCCCCGGGTGGTAGAAGGCACAGTTGTTCTCGTAGCGGCAGTTGCCCTTCATCATGAAATGTCGGCAAACAGGGCGGTTTGACATATCTGTGGGAATGATGGCGGAGTCGTTAGAACACGGCCAAGAGGTCAATGCCACCCTCGCACGCCATCCCCACCCCGTCCATAGCATCCTGAAAACTATCTTTCAGGGAGACATGGAATCCTACGGATTTGAGGAAAGGGCCAAGGGTAGCAACTGCCAGGCATACTGAAAACAGGGTGATTTCATGTCTGGCCTAGCACACCCAGGGTAGTGATGCTCCCCCAAAACTTGCAGGGGACACCAAAAGCCATGTAGTACCGAGCAGGAACCATTCTCACCTCCTCCATGGCTGTGGCCTCCATCGTGCCCTCGGTGGCCCCCTCCTCCGTGGCCAGGGCCATCATGGCCACGGTGCTCATGAGGTGGTGGCCCTCGATGGTCATGGCCTCGGTGACCAGGGACATCATGAGGCCGGTGGCCATGGGGCCCCCCATGTCCAGGACCTTCATGGGGGCGATGTCCACCACTTCCACCCATGCTCCCACCAGGGCCTTCATGGGGGCGATGTCCACCTCCAGCACCCATTCCTCCACCAGGACCTTCATGGGGGCGATGTCCACTGCCTCCACCCATGCCACTGCCAGGGCCTTCGTGGGGGCGATGGCCACTGCCACTGCCCATGCCACCACCAGGGCCTTCATGGGGACGATGTCCCCCACCTCCACCCATGCTACCGCCTGGGCCTTCGTGGGGGCGGTGCCCACCACCCATGCCACTGCCAGGGCCTTCGTGGGGGCGGTGTCCACTGCTGCTGCTCATGCCCCCACCAGGGCCTTCATGAGGACGATGCCCACCACCTCCAACCATGCCCCCACCAGGGCCCCCTCGTCCATTTGGGGGTCCTCCTCCAGAGCGACCTCCTCTGGCCCCCCGGAAGGGAGGCGGCGGCGGCGGTTCATTTCCTCCTCGGCCACCACGGCCTCTGTGGTATGGTCCAGGACCTGGTCCTGGACCCCCCCGCATTGGGCCACCCCGCATGGGGTCACCTGGGCCATCCCAGAAGGGATCACCCCCTCGTGGAGGGGGTGGGGGACCCAAGAGACGTGGACCCACTGGCCCACCAGGGCCTCCGTGAGGACCTGTGAGGGAAAGGGAGACATTATCAGCTACCTGTTACACTCAGGGACGGCCCCTCCCAGCCTAAACCACCTCCCACCTTTGGGTCAATCCTACACGATTACCAGGCCAAAATTAAGCAGGTAAACCCATTCCAACCTCTCACCACCTACCTGGCATAGGTCCCCCAGGCCCAGGGGGGAAGTGTTGCATGGCCTTGGGGCCCCCAGGGCCTCCTGGTGGGAAACCATTGGCTATTGGACCAGGGCCTAAGAGTCCATGTGGCACTATTTAAAAAAAAAAAAAAAAAAAGTAGAGCAAGAGGATTCTAGAAGAGGCATGACTTCCTACTTAGGTGTGCCTCTCTGGCCCTCTCAGACCAACTTGGCAGAGCAATGCTCTGTCCAGTCTTGCCCTCCCACCCAGCGGCAATACCCCTGGCTTCCCACTCACCCCCAACTCCACAGTAGGCTTCCTCCCCCAGGCCCCAGGGCTGGCCCTGGTGATTACCGAGCATCTGCTTAATCTTGTCTGAATAGTCTGGTTGCTTGAGCAGTTCCTCTGAAGGATGACTATTTGGGCTACCCTGTGAGGCAAGATGATTAAAGAGCAAGGTCAATAAAATGCAAGGCAAAGAAGAGAGCCAGATGAGGAGGTAAGTGAGAAGACGAGTACTGGGGTAAAAAGAGAGGCAGATTCCAGAGACAGTGGCAAAGAGGAAGGCGGGCTCATACCATGATGGAGGTGAGGATCTCTTGCACATTGATGCCTCCTCCTCCAGGACCCTGGGGGCTCTTCCCAGCACCCATGCTTCCCATGAGATTGGCCAGGACGGGAGGCAACTTGGAGCCGCCTGCCCCATCAGGTGAGCCACCAGCTCCTCCAGGCTCCAGGGTCTCAATATACGGGGTCTCATCCATGGAACACTCCTGCAAGAACAGGAGAACGATCAGGACTAACTTGAAAGAATGAAGAGACATTCCATTTGAAATGGAAATGAAATGTTGAAAGACACATTAAAATCGGTCACAATCTCCACCACCACATAGCGTGTGCTCACCTCATCTAGGGGGATGAGCTTCGGGGGGACAGGTTCATAGGGCTCAGGATCAGGTTCATGAGGACTATTAGGAATGCCACAGGTGATGGGAAAAAAAAGAATGACAGTCCAATTATTTATTCAAGCCCTCACATTCCCTCCTAGCCTCCACCTGCATCTTAATTACCCAGGGCATGTTCCCCTCAGGGGCCCAAGCACTTAACACGAACTTGGTTCATGCCGCCCAGGGTGGGAACCGTGTTTTGCTCACCTTTCCTTGTTCAGGAAGAGCTCCTGAAGGATTCCTTTCTCCCGTTCAGCCTGGATATATCGCTCCTGGCTGTTGCTTCCAGGGGTGACAAGGGGTGAGGGCAGAACCAGGGGCCGCGGGCATACCCAGGGCACCTTCTCCTCCATGTTGTCATGGCTCAGACGCCGGGCCGTCTCAAATGCATGTCGGTCTGACAGTATCTCTCGCTTAGCTGCCTCACCAAAGTCCTTGATCTTATTCACATTTACTATTGGCAAGGAGAAAAAAGAGAAAAAGTAAACACAACCCAGTCCTTTTTAAACTCTCTATACCCACTTTCTACACAAGAATCTTGAACGCTAACCTCGTTCAGTTTCATCCAGTTCAAAATAGAAATATTCTCTCAGTTTGCCCTCCTCAGGCCACGTCACAGTCTTCCTCTTCCTGCCTTTCCGGGTCAGCTGGCTGGGATCTCCAGGACTCTCTACTGGCTTTGCATCCAGTGCTCCTGGCTCCAAAGAGGCTGTAAGCAGGAGAGGTTTCAGACCCAGGTCCTTCCTTTTAGAAAACCCCCAAACCTGAACCAATTTCTAGACTTACCTGTATCCATGAGCTCTGGGACTTCAACAGGGGGAACTGGGGTGCCTGGGCGGTCTGTGTCCATAGCCTCACAAAGAGGTGCTGGTTCTGGGGAAGAAGGTTTGGCTGTGCTTGGTTCTGTGCTCGTTTTCCCTTCAAATGGGCTTGGCTATTGTGAAAGAAAAAGAAGTTAATGAGCGGACATGAAAGCCAAGGTTAAGGTAAGGCAATTAGTCCAAGGTCCTAGACAGGATCCCCCATGAGTTCTTATAAAGGAAGACTCTGCCTCTCATACTGCCGACCCATCCCCACCCCAGTGGTTGTCCTCCCCAACCACTCCTAGCTGCTGAGCCCTTCCTTCTACTTGACTTTTGACACCCTGTCAAGTGACACCTACAGCCCAGGGCTCAAACCTTGGCAGCTGTAGGTGACAGCACCTTCTTCTTCTTCTTAATTTTGATGCCTGGAACAGGGGCTGAATTGAGCGCATCCAGAAAGCCCAGGCCCTCCATTGCTATAAAAGGAAAAAGCATAAAAGGGAATCATCAGACCTCTTTCACAATCCTATTCCTCTAGACAAAGTCTGGGCAGGAAGTGGGCCAATGGAGACCCTGCCCCAACTGAGGACATAGTAAGTTCAAGGTGACCAGGAAGCGTATGCTGGATTCACACAAGGAATTCTTGTTATTCTTTTGTTTTTAAGTAATCTCTACAAACAGTGTGGGTCTTGAACTCCCGACCTGGATAAAAAGAGTTGCACGCTCCTCCAACTGAGCCAGCCAGGTGCCCTTTCTTTTAAAGGCAGGCAACTCGAGGCTCTGAGTATGAATTGGAGCTCAGGTAACTGAAGAAGCCAGCCCCCGTGGACAGGACAGAATATCCCAAAGCTGGGAGTACCCCTAAATCAGTCACTGAATAGCACACCTCCATACCTCATCTCTATAGTTACTTTTAAGTAATCCTACGAAAGGGGAGCTCCAGAGGTGCAAAAGTTAATTAAGACACCAAGAATCCATCCCCTACCACCCCCCAACATTCATTCCCATGAAGAGTTTGCTCCCAAAGTGCATTCCTCCACTTTAGACTCACGCTGTGGTGGGATGATCTTCACTTTGATCTCTTTGGTGGCATTCGGTGTGGTGTTCAGTGGCTTGTATTTCTTCTCTGCAGGAGGTGCAGCATCTCCTGGAGCAACTGTGGTGCTGTCAGAAGAGGAACCATCAACATCTCTGACTCACCCCTTCTTTCTCCCTCATGTCCACAGACCTAACCCATGCAGAAACCCAGGTGGTGGTCCATACCTCTGACGCTTGAGGGGGATGGGTTTAAGATTGTACTTGTCAGAAACTACCACGGCACTGGCATTCTTCTTCACAGGCACCAAAGATGGGGTCTCCAGCTCTAGCCCTGTGGGAAGAAACATGCTGTTGGGGTTGAACTCACTCCCACTCCCACTCTCTTAACTCTTCCTCCCTGGTCCAACCCTAAATCTTCATCTAGCCCAAGTTTCACCCACCAATCCTCCCTCTTCCATATGTGTGCCCTATCATAAATCAGCTATTCTACTACAAGGTCCTAGGTGTACATCTGCCCACAGACCCTCCCAAGACCAGCCAACAGCCCTACCAGTGGAACGGAATTTGGCGTGACTGGGTGCCGTCGTTCGGAGAGACTTCGGCTTCTCTTTCTTCTTCTCTGGGGCCTCCTCAGCCCGGGTCTCAGCCTTCACCTCAGTCAAGGGTCGCTCAGGAGGGGTGGTTCGACTCTTCCCCTCTTCTTTACGTTTTTTCTTATCTTTCTCTGTTATGAAAAAACAAAGTAGAAAAGGATTTTACTTAAAGAGAAAGACTGTCAGAGGTGAAGCAGGCTAAAGACACTTGAAGGCCATGTCCCAGTGGGAACGAAATAAATACGAGGGATAAAAGACTAAGGAGCTTACCAGCAGGCTGGGTACTGCTCTGGGAGCGGATGACAGCCATCCAGTCACTGACAAGGACTGAAGCCAATTTCCGGAGCTCTGCAGGTGAGAGTATAAGGGGGAATGCCTAAGTAGCTAAAAACACTATTCTTCCAATAACAGAAAATAGAGATGTTTAAAGATATACTGTGAAAATCTATGTAACAGAAAATGTAACCAAGAGTTTTAAGAACATGACATAGGCTCACAAACCAAACTCTTCAAAATGGAACAATGAATCACACAGCAGTCTTCCATTCCAATCCAACCGGGGGGGGGGGGGGGGACACACGACATTAATTACATACATAGTACATTATAAAAACATCAGTGTTAATAAATTAAAAGAAACCGACATCAGTTTTTTACATAGATCTCATGTGGCTGTTATAACTTGAAGATTCTTATTCCTCCTTCACAGACAGACAGCAGCATAAAGATCAGAGTCAGAAAGCTAGGAAGCTGCAGAATGAAGCCAGTGCCGAACTAAAATCAGGAAAAAGGCAGGCAAGGTTCAAGTACCTGAAAAGCTAAGAACAGTATCACTCTATGTTGTCCTAAAGGCAAACCAAGTTTCAAGGAGGCAGATTTAGATCCATCTTTTTTTTTTTTTTTAGATCCATTTTACAGAAGATTTCCTAAGCCATTTTTCTTCCTAGAATGCTACTAGTGATAATGGCTTAAAAAAAAAACAACAATTAAGTGTAGCAAAGGCGAAGAGCTTAAAGCAGACCACTTCAGGGATGGGGAAGGCTTTGTTTATTTGAAGAAAAAAGATGGGTAGAGAATTTAAAGATAAAGGATAAAATGGGTTTCCAAATATATAGAAAAGAACAAAAACCTTTACAGCTCTTGCCTTTTGTACTTGGCAAATAACATCTCTTATTGTGGCATCCATCCTCTTGCCAACATTTCCACTTATAGACTCATTTAATAATGATATTGTTGAAAACATTAAACCACAACTTTTCAAATACACAACTACCAATTTCTATACTTAAGGCAACATAAACTCCAGTGCATCCCCAATACAGGGATATCCTAAACCTTTTTTTTTTTTTTTTTTAAGATTTTATTTATTTAATTGACAGAGAGAGAGAGAGAGCGTGAGAGGGAACACAAGCAGGGGGAGCGGGAGAGGGAGAAGCAGGCTTCCCGTGGAGCAGGGAGTCTGACGCGGGGCTCGATCCCAGGACCCTGGGATCATGACCTAAGCCGAAGGCAGACGCTTAACGAATGAGCCACCCAGGCGCCCCGATATCCTAAACCTTTTTGGACCAATTGATACTATGGTCTATTGAGACTTTAAGGTCTATAAGGAATGTACAACTTTCAGTATTCAAAGAAGTACAGAACAATTAAACCTATATTCAAAGGTGGCAGCACAATTGAGCTAACTGGAAAACAAGGAACACTATACCCGACAATAAAGAAACAAGAGATGAGCAATGATTTAATAGGACATTCTGTAATACGTGTTACATTACAAATTATTATTCAAGATACTCTGTAATGTCACAAATACAGAAGTTGCTCAGTATCTTAAAGGACCTAAAACCAAGAATGAATACAACTAAAAGAACAGAAAGCTAGAGAATGTTTTTCACTTAAACACTATGAATTAAACCCTTTATCTTGGTAAATATTCCCAGTGTTTTCTCCTACAGCTAAAGGAACTTCAAATAGGCTTACCCAGGCCTACATGCTCCTTCCACACCAAACTGCCAAAGCCTCTTTCCAAAAGGACCTAGCACACCATTCCCTTTAGACAAAAGAGTAAGCCTATATTCTGATCAGGGGATTAGCTCCGCTAGAATACTGCTCACCTGTGGCACGCCAGTGTCTTCACTAGTGGTTTGTGCCCTGGGTATAAACCCTTTTCTTCACTAAAGAAAAGGCTGTGACTTTCTGGAGCCAGGCCCTGTCTTTAAGCCAGAACTGTATGGCCCTTGCCAAGGGCTCCAATACCCTTGTCTTAAGAAAAAGAAAAACTCTGTTGCTACCAAAGCTATGATCTACTCCAGCAGTCAGGATTCTTTCTGCCTATGTCCTAAAGGAAGGTGTTTATTGGTACAACTATATGTCTATTGTTAGGAAAACACATACTGAGGGTCCCAGAATATGCTGTATTTATTCAGAAAAACAAAAGGAAATGATGAGGACACTCTCTTGGATGACACTATTTTTCTCCAAAGAATTTTAAGTGTATACCTTTTACACCAAGAGATATTAAGAATCAGCTTCTTGTTGAAGTATGGGATCTTGTCTTACATTCAGTAGTAGAGAAATGGACAAATCCCATTCGGAATTGAGAACAGGAAAGGGTGACAGGTTAGAGAGGCTCAATTTTTAAAAAAGGAAAGTAAAAGTGAAGTAAGAAGGAGTGACAGGGCAGTTCAAGGATGGGAGTGAGACATGAAAATAACGAAGAGGCAGTCATGAGGAAGGACTGGCCCCTACCTTCATCCTCACTTGACTTGCTCAGCTGCTTCACCAGTTTGGCTGTGTTGTTCTATGAGAGATGGGGAGAAAGGTTAAGTACAAGGAGGAAAATGAGTCGTCTCGGAGCTAAGAACTGCACAAATTCATGCACAGTTTCTTTTTTGTGACACTTTATTTTTAAGCCGTCTCTACACCCAAGCGTGGGGCTCAAACCCACAATCCCAAGATCAAGAGTCGCACACTCCACCAACTGAGCCAGCTGGGTGCCCTGCCCACAACTTCTTAATAGTCCCTAACTGCGACCACCACTACTGTAGTACTTTACCATTTACAAAACCTTTGTAGGCACAATCTTAATCCTTAAAACCACCAGTGTAGATAGGTACAATCATTCCCAACGATAGACAAGAAAACTGAGGCTCAAATACCTGAACTGCCCTAACCACACACCTATTAATGTACATAAACCAAGTCTTCTGATACTAAGTTCCTGTTTTTTCTACCACTCTCCTGCACAGGCCCAAGAATGCAACCACATCAGAGTCCATGTATTTTATCTATTAGGCTAAAGCAAAAAGGAAGCACTAGTGTTGTAGAGACGTAAGGTACCTGCTTGAGATGGTCCACAGTGAGCGGGAGGTGCTGCAGGGTCAGCAGAATTTGCTGCAAGAGGGGAATGTTGTTGGTTGTCTTTGAATAGGTCAGCCAACTGTTAAGCAGCTTGTAGCCACCAACATCAATAAACCTGCAGACAGGTAGGAGAATCTGTAATGCCCTTCCTGGGTTTTGGAGCGCCATGTCCCATACTCCTAGTCCCCCATGCCTCCCCTCACCCACCTTCTAAGTACATCTTCCCAGCCCAGCCACCCAGATCCCCACTTACTTGACCAATATTTCTGGTGACTGGGTCTGCAGGAGAATGTTCAAGTAAGTGCATCGACTCACCATCTTTCGTGCTTCCTTCATCAGGCTGTAGGAGAGAAATTAAGGTTAAAAATGGAGCAAGAGGCTCTTCTTTCAGCAGAACCATCTCTGATCTGTGGGAGTGCCTAAAAATCCCTGATGACTTGGGACTTTGCCACAGAGTGGGAAGGTCACACAAGCCTCTCGGGGGATGGGATGGATCCAGAGTGAAATGGAATCCTATGAGAAGATGGAAGACAACTGAGGAGACACTGAAGTCTGTGATCTGGGGAGGTGAGCATCACTGCTTCCCTAACCTACAGGCCACACTTGATTCTGCTTCCCAATGAAGTATCCTAGCACTAACAGCCATCCATTGGTAGTCTGTTCAGGACTGGCTTAGTCTTTTGCCTTCCCCTGGGAAACTGGAGGATCCCTGAAGGAAGACAGCAGTTTGGGTATATGGAATGTGATCCAAAACAGAACCAAGAATTCTGTCACCTGGCTCCCCTGCTCCCTTCCTTCCAAAGCGTGACTTCCTCGAGACTGTGGATATCCAAACCCCGATTCCATTATCGCGAGGAACCAAGGGATCACCTTTTCCTATCTAAAATTATTGGATACCAATCTTATTCCACTGACTCTTTCCCCTCCAAAAACACTCATTCTTGTCAGTCTTACTTATAGTGGTATTACAACATACAGTATCCTCTGCTCACAGTGAATCCAAAGATAAGCAGACTCACCTGAAGATCTTGGAAATCCCATCCACTGTCTTGACTTCCCCATCTCGGTTAAGGAAGCTATCCAGGCCCTTGAGAAGCTCTTTGGGATCTATGGGACCCGAACCCATGATCGAGGTTTCTAAGACAAGGACAAAATAAACCCACAGAATAAATGGGTGTCAACGACAGTCCCACTATACCCTCTAATAAATTCCATTTCTACAGTTGACAAAATTTTGTGACAAAATTTTTCAATCTATATTCAACTACACTCACCATTGTCTAGGTAAGAAAAAATCAACCATCACTACCACAGAGGAAAAAAAGCCCTGGCAAGTTAAGCACGGTGTTAATACAGGACTCAATGGGAAGACAATTAGACTGGAGGACTGGGCAGCACACCTTTCTCTCTCTCTCCCAGTTACATCCTTTCTAGATAGCTGAACTTCACTAAATTGTTAGGGCTGAGTCGAGTTCCCATAACAAAACACTCAACATTCCAAGGTATTTCTGCTTATTGTTAGGTCCTATTTCTTCTTAGCTGCTGATAAATAAGCTTGAAAAAAAAAAAGCCTATAGCTTGATAAGAACTGGGACAATCTTGGACACCTGGGCTAAATAAATGTCTTCTAAGATTAGTCAGTTACTTTTTATCTTAGTCTATTAACAGTCACAGTCACCTCAAGCAGAATATGCTCTGTTTGCACCAGGAGACAATCAGCTAAAGTGGTAAGTGATAAAAACTTGAAAACATAATCTTTCCCTCAAGAGAGTTGTGGGTAGCTCCCAGAAATGGAAACAAATGGATATAAAGAAAATCAAGCAGGTACTCCTAAGCCGTGAACAGAACTGTCACTCATTAACCAAATACTGCACAAATTTTTATTGTTTTAAAGTTAAGACTGCTTTGTAATTTCAAAAGCAAAGATGTGCATTTGATTACTACTCCTCTCCAAAATCACACTACCATCCAAGATCCCCAAAAGAAAGGCCTGAAATTAGAAACCACGGAGCCAAAAAAAATGGAATAAAACTGGAAGCTGGAAAAACGCCATTAAATTTTAAGTAGCTACTTTAGACCAGGTTAGAAAAGGAGCTCATTAAAAGCTAAACTGCTGTTATAGGATAAAGTGTGAAGCAATTTCTAGGCCAAAACCCAAGGTAATTTAGAATCAATGTGGCTCTGACTGGGATTTTTATGCCTCTAAACACAGGCTTCTGAGAACTGAAAAAGAAAGCTACCTCAGTAATATTTGCGTTTGGAATGTAAGGTTAATGCTGGGTAGAAAGGAGGCAAGAAGAAAACAATTTCTTGCCTTCTGCTTATAGTACAGATAACAGACATGATCCCAGCAGAAGGGTGGGAAAATCAGTGTTTTACAAGCTGTGTTTTGTGCAGTAAAGAGAACAAGTTTCTTATAAAACAACAAAAATTTGTTCTATTTGTTCTCAGACAAATCAAAAAAGAAAAACAAGCATAACAATCTCAACCTTTTAGTCCTCCCAACAAAAAGGCCAATAAATTTCTAAATAGACAGGCCCTAACCACCTAGGGAAGCAGCAGCAGAAGCAGGGAAGAGGCTGGTGCTTGAGCTCTGTGGGCTGAATACGGAGAGGAGGTAAAAAACGCTGAGGTGGGCAACTCTGGGTTAAGTGTGCTATTGCACCTGCTGTGGGACCTCCACAGGGACAGGGAGAACCTGCGGTCAGAGGAGAAATACTGAAGTAGAATACTGGATAAGATTAGAAGCCCATGGGCCAAATCCACTGAAGTGCGGTGATTCTTACAAAGACAGACACGGAGAGAAAGGCATTCCTCCCATGTAGTAAGACACCATACAGGGATATAATATAGACACTATACCAAGAGATACATACAGAGATAAAACAAAGGGATAAAACAGACTTCCCATCTATCGGAGACTGGAAAAGCAGTGAGTGAGTCCAAAGTAATACATATCATCAGCAACCACAATATACACAATGTGACAAAAATTAAATTAACATCACTTCAAACCAGCACCACCGCCCCCACCAGGCCAAATACTGCTGACCCAACTGATTCAAACCCAGAGTAGATATACATCACCTTGGAGAACTACCTTTTGCATATCCAAGTACGAGCTGAGCCAAAAGGACTGCTACCCCTACTTCCTTCAGAAACTCAAGTGTCACCTGAGCTCAGATGTTCCTCTTCACGTAAGAGGGTGGGAAAGAAGAGGGAATAACCATCCCCAGAAAGAGACCAATGAGTACAAAGCTAAATTCTGTCCAGTGCCCTCTGCTAGGAATGGGACCCAGGGACAACTTTTTCATTCCCATTCACAAGCAAGAATAGTCAGGGGAAGCTAGAAGACAAAGCAGAAATGTTAAATATTCATTCCCCACTAATATTTTTCCTATAATTTATATTTTGGAAATACAATTAATAGAACTAAGTTTCGTCTCACAAGTACCAATCGAGACAAAATGTAAATGGGTTTTTTCATGGCTTTCCTAAAGGCAAATTAGTTGACTCATTTAAAATTAAGGACTCCAAGTGTCTTACAACCAAATTTCCTTACTTTGCAGTCAGTACATTTTGAAAGAAGCTACAAGGCACTCAAGTGGAAAGGGATGAAGAGCCCAAATTCCTGGCACAGGCCTACAGTGGAAAAGGCAGAGTTGACCAGGGAAGGAGGGGCAGTAACCAAGTGTCAACATTACCTAGTCCTATCTGGAGCCTGGAAAGAACGCTTAAGGAAGCTTTCTGGAAGCAAAAATAATCTAGGGCATGGTATGTTTGCTTTTAATTTCCTTGAAGATAGAACATACAGAAGGGGTGGGGGGGAGGGGAACCCCCCAGCCTTATCTCCACCTCGTCCTACACTGTGCGTTCCTTCTCATGGAGGATTTTGTAGAGATGAGCACTGCTGACACACACAAGGCCCTGGGGAATGTTCTACATTCCTTACCAGAGAGAAACTTCAAAGTTCTTAAGTGACACCAACTCCTGCCTCCCAAAGGAGTTTTACTTGAGGGTTATTAAATTAACAGGGTGAAAAATATCTAGCTTGGTCAAAGTTACTCCATACCTATCACCAAGAAAAAAGAACTTAATTGGTTCAGGACAAAATCCCTATGCAAATTGGAGCCCTTTTAAAAACAATCATTAACACTCTTGTAACAAAGGAGAAAGGAGTCTGAATTTACCTTAACTTAGAAGCCTTAGCACTTCAGGAAATGAAAATGCTTTGTACCTGACCCCTGACATTCCCCTTCCTTTTCTTAGGTGTTTGAGGTTATGTCCTAATATGACTCAGTGGACTGAATTAGGTCTCTCAGGTGATGCACGAGGTCTTACCTCTCCTAAGGAGTAAGCCCCTACCCCTCAAACTCACTTTGAAAACCTGGTACAGTGATCTCCCCAAAACCTTATCTGACTCTCAGTGAGAATGTACAATCACCCCCCCCCCAAGCCCCAGCGAAAGATCCCAGAATATAACTGGCCACAAACTATAAGGATCAGGTTCTCCGAGGTTCTCTGGATGGATGTGGTTTCCCTAGAAGACCTTGTTTCCCCATCTCCCATGTTAAGGAAGATCTTATTAATCCCCTGTTCACTAGAGATCAGGAACCCCAATGGGTGGAATATTCAGCTCCCAAGGAAGGTATGCTGCAGAAGCACAGGGCAAACTGCTTAAAAGATAAAAAACTTGCGGTCAATAGACATGTGGAAGAGTCCCTCCCACCCAATCCAGAAGTTTAAGTACTAATTTGAGAATCCATACCCAGCAGAAAATTAGCCCTGAAGTCTCACCAAGTCACCGAAGACAGCTGTACAAAATGGCTTTCCAATTCTGCCTAGAACCTCCACACTTCAAATCAGGACTTTAAAAAATGAAAAGTATATGGAGAGTCTGACAAAGATTTGACTTTGAAAAAGTTGGAGGAAGATAGAGAAGGGACAGGACACCCAATACCACCCTCAGATTGGGCATGGCTTGAACATGCACCCATTGCAAAAGCACTGCACGAGTTAAAAAATGAAGACATTATTCTCCCATTAATGTTTTTAAGGAATTTCTTTCTAAAGGGAAGAAAAAAGAAATTCAAAAAAGGTGGCTCTTTGGAAAAAAGAAATGAAGGTTGTGAAATGTAATACCAGAAAGGTTTTGCTTACCAGACACCGTAGCTCGCATCCCCCTGCCTTGAGTTTACAACTGCCGCCTCCTTTCCTATTCACTTCTCATCCTAGTACCAATGTAGAGGAGCTACGCAACTGGAGAACGTGACACAGCACTGAACACAAAGAGTTTATCCCCAAACCCAGAGGTGGGAATAAGGGTGATTTAAAAGGAAGTCCTGAAGTACCCACCCTCCCCCAGTCTCATTATACAAAGCGACCAAATGCAGGCCCAAGGACTAGTTCCTGAGCAGCAATGGCACAGTTGTGTCATTAGGCCCCATTTGTCTATTCAAGTCACTTTCACAAGTCCTCCTTCCCCCCCTATCCCCCACCACACAGATCTACATACACACAGCTCACACACACACACCACCAGAAGGCTCCCAGTCTTAAAGTATAGTTGGTTTGACTGGTTTTCCACCCCTGGCAACTGAAGCGGGGAAAATTTCCAAGCAGTTGTGATGAGTGAAGGAAGGTGAAAATAAAAGCAACAGGCTCTGATTGTTAAATATAAAAACTAGAGCTGCCCAGGAGATGGACAACTTCAAGACCTAATTCCTATAAGCTTTTTCCTCTTAAGATTATAAAAGATATTCTAAAGAAAAGGTCTTTTCCTGTCTAGCAGCAGCGTGCACAGGAGTCCAGAAAGCATCTGCTCAGGGGTGGAGTTTCAAGAGGGTGGAGAGGAAGAAAGCTGATTACATCACCTTTCCATGCTGCTCCTCCCCCTTGACCAAGTTTCTAGGGCGGCCCTAAGCTCGGGATGGCAAAAGAGGGAGAAAAAAACAACAAAGAAGCAGGGACGACGCCATTTTGTAATGGAGAAGAGGAAAACTCAAAAAAGCTATCCCGGCACTGCCGGCAGCTAGTTAAAGCAAAAAAACACCCTTTTTCAGTAAAATACCCCAAACCAGCACCCATCCTGAATGGTCTTTGACCTAATTTGAGTAAGAGAGTTGTGAAAATAAAACCAATTAAAATATTTAAAAGAACAACTTTCTGCGGGGAGGAATTGAATTTGCAATTGAGGTTCAACCTGCTACCATCGACCACCCCCATCCTCCCTATAAAGGGAAAGGGGGGAGGATTTGGACCCCGCTCAACAAATAGGGTTGAGGTGGGAGGACAGGAGAAAAATGGGCCAAGACACAACCTGCAACGCCGCTTGGAAGACAAAAGGACAAGGAAAAGTCGCCATATTGAAGCAGGGAAGAAAAAAATTCCTTTTAACGACACAAATCTTTTAGAAAGCTAGCATTCAATTGCACTAAATGGCTTTTAAAATTACTCCTGAATTCCACATTTCCCAACCTTTCCACCCCCTATTAGACTGTATTACCACCCACCAAAACGTATCAAGTTAAAATGTTAATCATTTTTGCTCTTAAATAACCTATGCAACCTGCAACAATTACAAAACATTACCTCCCCATTATCTTGTATGTACTGGCACTAAGATTATATTTTGTACTGAATTAAGTGTCTTGCAATCTTTATTCCTAGATTGCCACCTATTTTAACCACACAAATATACCCCAAGCAAATTACATTAAAATTGAGAGGATTTAACAATCATTTAAAAAGTCATAGCCAGCTATTATTTCTCTGCCCATCTCCTTACCCTGCAATCTTTATGTACAGATTGCTTATTAATCTGGCAAATTGAAAGGCGCCCTGCTTGTCTCACACACAAAGAAGTGGGACTTCTGGGCCACAAGATCCACCATCTTTTGTATGTGAGCTCATTAACCCTTTTGAAGACTGCTAACAAGAGGAAGTTAACCATTCCTCCTTATAAAAAGCAAACACTTATGGCTTTGGCAGTCTGGAAATTGGCTGGATTACGAAGGGTTAACCATCAAAATCCTCACTTGCTGGCCCTCCCTCCACCCTTTCCTTTCCTGCAGCAGGGCAGGAAGGTAGGTGGTAGGGGAGAGAGAACAAGACTGTTTAAGACCAAAGGCCCTTTTTTAATGGAGATTAAGTGACCGGCTTGGTCCTTCTCCAGTTCTCTACTTTGTTCTATTGGCTCATTTCTTCCTCTCATTATTTTTGGTTTCACAACGGGAAACGTTGATTTCTTGTTGCAAGGCTGGTTTTGGAAAATTCGACACTTACTATCCAATTTTTTTGCGACGTCAGCACCTCGGGCTCAGGGGGGGAGGGGGTTAAAATTTTGGAGAAAAAAAATAAAACAACCAACCAGGACCCAAAACTCAATTATTTGGGGGGCCTCATTGGATCAAAAAGTCTCTTAAAAAAATGAAGGCCAACTCAGCATTCATTTTCCCCCCACCCAACTCCATTTAGGGAGGGGGGGTCGTAGAAAAAAAGTTCTGAGTGGATTCAAAAAAGTAAACGCTGGATGAGTGAATTTGGGTGGGTTTGGGATGGGTGGGTGGTTGATTATTTTTGAAGTTATGTGGTGACGGTCCTTCGGCCACAGATTTCAAGTCCCATGCAGCGTGGGCTGGTGGGGTGGGCAAGATAGGTGGGAAGGGGCAGAAGACACAAGTGGTTGGGCTGGTGGCTGCTGTTTTCCCTTTCCCCCCTCAGGATCCTTTCAAGGGCTTAGATGGTGCTGCGGCTTGTTTCTTTTTTTTCCTCGTGGCCGGCCTGTCTTTCTCCGAGAAAATTCAAACCTGGGATAAAAGGAACACAAGGGAGAAAGATGTAATCAATACGGGTTGCTTTAAACACCCTAAGTACCATATTTGTTGTCTCCGAACACCTCCATGACCCATCCCGAACACAGCCGCCTTCTATAAGCCATGGTCCTTAACAGAACTCATGCCTAACCCCTGCCCCAGTCCAACGATCTTAACAAAACTTTACCCTCCAACCGACAAAACACCCAAACTTACCTCTAAACGAACCCCAGAATGGCGGCTGCCTGCTCGGGCGGAGTCTTTTATACCCAGACGCCGCCCAACGCGCCCAAACATGCTAGTGAAACGCCCTTGTCGCGAGACATTGTGCGCGAGGCGTGAATTCATTGGCCAACCCGAAAGACAACTCGCTAGCTGATTGGCTATCCTTCCTTCACCTTCGCTCAGCCCCTTCCCCCCAGTACCTTCTTCCGCCTCCTTCCTGGCCTCCCCCACAAGCGCGTGACCGAAGAGCCCAGCACCTCCCTTTCCTCTGCTTCCACCACTTCCGTCCTCGAGAACACTTCTCACCCTGGTTGGTAGAACCGGGCCGGCGCATGCGCATTGAGAAGATGTCGGTAGAAATCTCCTTCAAAATTGCTTAAAACGCAAGCATTAAGTATGAGATCTAGAAGTCGTAGTGACTGGTTCGAGAAAAACGCAATTTTGAGGCCGAATTCGATTGTGACGCAGTTGAAATTGGCCTCTCCCCACAGCCCCCCCTTTACGCTTCCGTACTGACGCAAGTGCGCGGCCGCCTCCCGCACTGCGGGCTCGCCCTTGGCCCTACCCTAGCCAGTTTCTTGGAGCATGCGCAATTGCCTTTCCGGCCTTTCCTGCCTTGGGCGTACGTCAAGATGGCGGCCTCCGTATTGCGTTCATTGCGGAGGCGCCTTCCTAGCTTTTCGCCCTTCAGAGGTGCCTACGGAGTTCAGGTAACTCCTTGGAGCACATTTTTGTACAACCGCCACTTAGTTATACTTTTTTTAGGTCATCGCTCCATTGCTGGGAATCCAGGAGCGGAGACTTTCCCAAGTGCTTATTATGCCTTGGCTGTCTAGGCAACACTGCTTCTACCACCCTTTACCTTCCCCTCACCCTCCTCAATACTGCGCGGATTTTTAATCCCCGGCCAAGGGAAAAGAGTTAGATATCCTTTTCCAAGCTACCAACTCGGCTAAAAAATTAGGGGAAGGATTGGGCCTCTTGGTCGTACACAACCAGCTCTTAAGTATGCATATAATGTTCAAATGTGTGATGCCCTGGAGTGTCCTTGAGTTGAGGGACACTAACTTCTACCTGCTGAGATATCTCCCGGTAAAGCCAGGATATGTTCTCACGACCTGGGGACCAGTTTCTTAGCTCTCTTTTTCTCACTAGATTAGTTTTGTTTGTTTTTTTAATCAGCGCATACATGAAACCTTAACTTAGTCCTTTAGATTGAGGTTTCCCTCCAGCCTCATGTACTCACCACACTGGAGGTTCTTGGTAGGGCAGGATAGGTTCTTGGGGTGGGCACGGTGAGATAGGAAAGCTTTCACAGCTGTCACTCCCTAACAGTGGTGACAGGGGTCACTACAGAGTTAATAACAGCCCTGCTAGCTTTAAAGCTAGCGTTAGGACTCAAGTTTGTTCTGACCTGTGGAATGTTGACCTTCAACTTTTGTAAGGCTGGGCAATTCAGTGATTCAGGGTTGGATTGGCTTGGAGACTCACCTGTCATGCATCCTCTCCCCACCAGACATCTTCCTTCCAAGAAGCTAGACACCCTCCCTTTTCCTTTCTTCTTCCTTTTCTTAGTACATCTTCAAAAGCACCAACACATCATGTGTGTCTTCTCAAATAAGACTGCTTCCCAGTCATCTATCCTAGTTACCCTCTCACATTAGCTTCTCCTTCAGGATCCACTCAGAGACAGGAAGAGTGGTTGTTGATCTAAGTTTTACCCTAAGAAAAATGCTACTTTCTGTATATATTCCTGCTATTCCATTAATACAATGGGCATGTTCTTGTCTCTAACATGTGGGCAGTGAAACTATCAGGTCCTTTCCTTGAACTCCTTTTCTCATTTTTTGCCTTTATAGGTTCCCCTCCAGAGCCTTTGCACCAAAGGCCCCCCTGAGGAAGATTCTTTGTCCCCAGTTCCCATAACCCCTTATAAGAATGAACCCTGGAAATATCTGGACTCAGAAGGTACCTCTGAATGGGAAAGGGGAGGATCATGTGGAGTCTGAAATAAATGGACAGAGACACTTCTACCATCCCCACCAGGAATAACTTGTGTGGTCTTTCATTTCAGAATACCAGAACCGTTATGGCTCTCGCCCCGTCTGGGCTGACTACCGTAGAAACCACAAAGGTGGAATACCCCCACAGCGGACTCGAAAGACATGTATTGTGAGTTTCTGAAGGTGGTACATGGCTGGAATGTGGAGTGGGGCTGGACACCATAGTGACAGTAGCGGTAGCACTTTTTCTCACAGGACTTTGAACATTCTTCACCTACTAGTTTTTTCTCTCCACAGCGTAGAGATAAAGTTGCTGGGAATCCCTGCCCCATCTGCCGGGATCACAAGCTGCATGTTGACTTTAGGGTAAGGACAGTCTTTTTTCCAGGGTAAGGATTTGGAGCATCTTTGTAGTGCTAAAGAGATTACCATGGGTGCCCCACTCTTCTTCATAAATTAGTTTAGCACCCCTACAGTCCATTTTGCATTGACTTTCTAGTAGTATAAAAACATTCCTCTTTGCAGCCTTTTGTCCTCTACTGTGGCTCATACTAAATCTTCATTTCTTACCTATGAAGTTTACAGTCTAAATTGCGAGGCCAGAAAAATGTCTATTTCCTTTTTTTTTTTTTTAAAGATTTTATTTATTTATTTGACAGAGACAGAGACAGCGAGAGCAGGAACACAAGCAGGGGGAGAGGGAGAGGGAAAAGCAGGCTTCCCGCAGAGCCGGGAGCCCGATGTGGGGCTCGATCCCAGAACCCTGGGATCATGACCTGAGCTGAAGGCAGTCGCTTAACCAACTGAGCCACCCAGGCGCCCCTCTATTTCTAATGGGAGAGCAATATCCAAAGGTTCATTTATATCCATTTGCAATTATTGGCAAGTAGATTGGGTTAGTTTTTTTCTGAGGTTTTTTTTTTTTTTTTTGAGAGAGTGAGGGAGAGAGTGCATGAGCGGGAGAGGAGCAGAGGGAGAGGGAGAAGCAGACTCCCTGACAAGCAGGGAGCCCAATGTGGGGCTTGATCCCAGAACCCCAGAATCATGACCCGAACCGGAGGCAGACGCTAACAGATTGAGCCACCAGGCACCCCTAAGGTTTTGTTGTTGTCGTTGTTGTTGTTGTTTTTAAATTTTTGTCATGTTGATGTTTGGTAGCATGCCAAGATTTAAGGCTGGAGGGCAGATACATGAAGCCAGATACAGAGTTTATTTTTCAAAAACCGTTTATTGCAAGGACGGACAGGACTTGCTCCTTGAAGAGTTCAAAAAGCATGTAAAAATAGTAATGGGAAAAATGCTCTTCTGAGTTTGCAGTAAAGGTATTGGAGCAGAAGCTGAATGATTGGTCATCAGGGGAGTTGGAAGGAATTCATATATCAGTCAGCAGATTGGGGTGTCTGACTGCTCTCAGGTCCCTTCTGACACCACTGTACAAGAGTCCCATAGATAGATAACTTCTCCATTTCAACTGTGTATGATTGGTTATAAAAATAGAACAGGCACCTGGGTGGCTCAGTCCGTTGAATGTCCGACCCTTGATTTCGTCTTAGGTCATGATCTCAGGGTTGTGAGAGTGAGCCCCTCATCAGGCTCCATGCTCAGCGGGGAGTCTGCTTGAGATTCTCTCCTTCTCCCTCTGCCCCTCCCCCTACTCACACATACACATACTCTCTCTCAAATAAATAAATCTTTAAGAAAAAAATAGAATGGGGCGCCTGGGTGGCTCAGATGGTTAAGTGTCTGCCTTTGGCTCAGGTCATGAGCCCGGGGTCCTGGGATCGAGTCCTGCATCGGGCTCCCTGCTCAGCGGGGAGCCTGCTTCTCCCTCTGCCTCTCTCTCTCTCTGTCTCTTATGAATAAATAAAATCTTTAAAAAAAAAAAAGAAAAAAATAGAATGTAACCAGTTGTATACAGTTTAGAATCAATCACATGACCAAGGAAGAAAGATTATAAATTGAATAGTGCAGATGATTCTGCTTGCTCTTTCACTCCACAAGTGCATCTACTTTTTTCAATGGATGTTATCTCTTGTGATTAACCTGCTGGCTGATAGTCATTCTACATAATTAGACCTCTAAAACTGATGTTAGTAATATATATGTTACATAAAGCATGCTATCATGTACGTTCATATTTATACGTGCACATTATAAACACGTACTATATTTTTTAGGTGATTTCAGGGATTGCCACCAATTTTTTGCACAAAGGGCTGATTTTAGAACCTAATCCCTGTAGAAGAGGGTTCTATGTGAGTCTCAGTGACAGAATGTAGGGTATGCATGTGAAATGGTTGCAAGACCAAGAAAGGGGAAATGTTTGCTGGAGTTTTCAAGAATGTATTCAGCAAATTGATGGAGCTAAAACTGGGACATGAAGGAGGGTAGCACCTGGAGAGACACAGAGGAGTTAAGGGCGTCCGTGCACACGTGAAGGGATTGTGCACTTCTAGGTTCTCAAGGTCTTGCTGCTCTCCCTGCCCTCTCTTATATTTCCCCACCACTTTCCTCCACAGAACGTGAAGCTCTTGGAACAGTTTGTCTGCGCCCATACAGGTGTCATCTTCCATGCTCCATATACAGGTTAGTCTGTCGTCCTTGTCACCACCAGAATAGCTTTTCCTTGGAGCACTCCTCATTTATTCAGTGATACAGCAGTTATCTGGTGGCTGTTCTGTAAGGCATAAAAAGTGTGAATGAACTTTTTTTGGAAATCTTGCCTTAATGGATATATTCACACGTGGACAAAAGGTACAAGCCAGTACCAATGTAAGTTATCTAAATGTAGCTGTTAGAAGTGGTGGTAATTATTTCCTTTCTGTAGGGTCTCTTTGCTTTTGCAAAAGGCTTTCTAGCAAATTGACTGTCCTGTAAGTTCTTTTTGCCATCGACAATCCAATTAGATCTTCCAGATTTGGAGTTATAATCCTAACAATTCAAGATTACATCTATTCCTTAATGAAGGCCACAGGACAAATCTGGCACACCGCCATGTCCACTTATTTTCATATTGTGTGTAACTGCTTCCAGGCTACAATGGCAGAGTTGAGTAGCTGAGACAGAGACTGTAGGACTTGCAGATCCTAAAATTTATGTGGCCCTGCACAGAAAAATTTTGCCAACTCCTGCTCTAAAGCAAGATAAATTTGCAAAGAATAATCTGAATCCCCCATTTTGGGGATGGCAGCATGATCAATGGAGTTTGGTTTGTCAGGGAGTTTTAAAGAAGAGCTTTATAGTCGAGATGCCTGGGTGGCTCAGGCGGTTAAGTGTCTGCCTTCGGCTCAGATCATGATCCCAGGGTCCTGGGATTGAGCCCCATGTCAGGCTCCTTGCTCAGTGGGGAGCCTGCTCTCCCTCTCTCTCTGCAGCTCCCCCTGCTTGTGCGCTCTCTCTGAAAATAAAATCTTTAAAAAAAAATGCTTTATACTAAAGCTATAAAAAGCTAAAGGAACTATTTTGCTACTCTCTCAGATCACCTTCTCCAGATCGGGAGCCCTTTCTTCCTTTACTGAATCTTTCTCGATGGATTGTTCAACCCAAACCTTTAATTAACCACACTTGCCCTATGAATTGTTTTCTGCTTTCTGTCTTGGAGGTTTTACCATGAAATAGCTTTTCTGTAGTGGCTAGACCCTCCTAAAGTCTTTTTTTTTTAAGATTTTATTTATTTGACAGACACAGCGAGAGGGGGATCACAATCAAGGGGAGCAGGAGAGGGAGAAGCAGGCTCCCCAGGGAGCCCGATGTGGGGCTCGATCCCAGGACCTCGAGATCATGACCCAAGCTGAAGGCAGACGCTTAACAACTGAGCCACCCAGGTGCCCCTAGACCCTCCTAAAATCTTAATCTCAGCTCTCAGAGGGGGGATTTTTCCCATTGGGTAGATGGGGAAACTGAGGCCAATCGAAGGGTCAAGAGAACTAGGGTTATTAGGTAGAGCAAGTTTTCCAAACTCAGCTCTTTATAACCGTATAGAAGCAGTTGTATACTCTATTTACTGTGCTTTCTAGAATGAGCACTGAGTTTTCTTTTTCTCCCTACAGGGGTCTGTATGAAGCAACATAAGAAGTTGACCCAGGCCATCCAGAAAGCCAGAGATCATGGTGAGCATGAGAAGGGGCCCGGTGCATTTTTCTTAGCCATGAAGAAGGTGATTTAGGGCTGGAGGGTGGATATAAATACTCCTTCGTGTCTGAGGAGGTGGCACCCACATCTCCTTTCAGTACTCCACTGTCCCTTTTTCTCTCTCCTGAGTCTCTTATCTTGTCATTGCCCTGTTGCCTTAATCCTCTGTCCTTTTTCTTCCCTTTTATAACTATCAGTCCCAATGCCAGGGATAGATCATGGGAGATCTTTGTATAAATTTCTGGCCCTGGGCTCCATGACACCTTTGCAGAAATTAAAAAAGGTATGCTTCGGGGCGCCTGGGTGGCTCAGTTGGTTAAGCGACTGCCTTCAGCTCAGGTCATGGTCCCAGGGTTCTGGGATCGAGCCCCGCATCAGGCTCCCTGCTCGGCGCGAAGCCTGCTTCTCTCTTTCCCACTCCCCCTGCTTGTGTTCCCTCTCGCTGTCTCTCTCTGTCAAATAAATAAATAAAATCTTAAAAAAAAAAAAAAAAGGTATGCTTCTGCTAGGGCAGATGCAGCTTTATAGCCCTAGGGCAGGGCTGCACAGCTTGGCAGACTAGAGTCCCAGCAGTAAGTATGTCAGTCCACATTACCCCCTTGGCCAGTTGCCTTTGTGCAGTGTAGAACATGGATAAATATATTCAGTGGTTCTGACTGGTTCCTCCCTCCCTTTATATGTCATTTTACATATTATCTTAACCCAAACTACCCTTCCTTGCTTCCCTCCCTCACTTTCTCTTTAATTCCCTAGGTCTCCTCAGTTACCACATTCCTCAGGTTGAACCTCGGGACCTTGACTTCAGTACCTCTCATGGAGCTGTGAGTGCTACTCCACCAGCCCCCACCCTGGTTTCAGGTGACCCCTGGTATCCATGGTATGGCTGGAAACAGCCACCAGAGAGAGAGCTGTCCCGCCTTCGACGGCTCTATCAGGGACATCTCCAAGAAGAGAGTGGTCCCCCACCTGAGTCAATGCCTGAGGTGCTGCTCACAACCCCAGCTGAAGCCGCCTCCACTGAGCAGAAGCCCCAGAGTGCTCTGTAGACTGGGAAGGAATTAAGAGATAGTGCCTAGGAATTACATGATGGGATTTCACTCTGAAGAGTTGTGTCTGTATGTGGCCAATGGCAGGCCTAGGGCCAGAGAGAAGTAATGATGGCTGTTGAAGGGAATAAATGCTTCTGAGGCTTAGGGGAGGGCAGGACAGATGTGTATGGGAAACCCCAAACCCTATATATTGTAAATAGTAGATAGGCTAAACATTCTGTACTTGCTTCAGATTTCTGCTAACTTGGCTTTCCCACAATAAAGCTGTATCTCCTGTTTCTGGACTGAGTTTCAAGATTAATGCCATTTGTGTCAGGGATCGGGGAATTGGGGAATGGGTGCTGCTGTGGGGAGAGGAGGGGTCATGCTTGAGCCAGACTGGCCAGTGATTCTTGGGACCAGAAGCCACCAGATATGAGCAGTTGGGCCATTATGTCAGGATCACCTTTCTGGCCTCCTGTGCCCAACGCAGTGGCAGCGTCCCCACCATACCTAGCAATTTCCTGATTGGGACGGGGGTGTGGGGAGGGGCAGTTGAAAGGGTTGGAGCATGGGACACTAGGCTAGGAAAAATGCGTTGCTATGGCACCCGCGGGGTGGGGGGCGGGGGCGGGGGAGTGGCGTTAAGGGACTGGCCTGGCGGGAGTTTGGGGAGGAGGAGGGGTGGGGGCGCTGAGGGGGGATGGGCAGGAGGGTGGGGCGGGCCCTAGGGGCGGGTCCTGAGCCCCTCCTGCGTAGCGGGGAAATAAAGCCTCCCTGAAGTGCTTCCTCTCCTTCCCCCAACCTCCTCCTTTCAGGGAGGGGCGGAAGTGACGTGCCACGGGGCGGGTCCGTCCACGCACAATGGGCCATGGAGTTCTCGTTCGATGTGGATGCGCTGCTCCCGGAGCGGATCACGGTGCTGGATCAGCACCTGCGACCCCCAGCCCGCCGACCCGGAACCACAACGCCGGCCCGGTGACATCTCAAACCCGCCCCAAGGCCCTTCTCTCCTTGTGCTTCTAAAAAACCTGGTCCAGGCACCACGCCCCCTTCTCACTGACTAGTGACCTCCTTTTGTTGCTCTGGCTCAACCTTCTGGTGACCTTTGACCCTAGACCTAGTGGAGTTGATGGGCACTTGCATCTGTGACCTTTCACTCCTTGGCCTGATTTGTTCTAACCAAAGGATGTGGTTGACACGCCCTTCCTGCTTCCCCACAATAAACCTCAGGGAGGGGGGAGTGTAATGTATTGAAAAAGAGGTGTGGCAGAAGTTTGGGTTCCAGAAAGGTGGGGTGGAAAATCAGATCGGAGGTCTCCAAGGTAAGGTCAGAGAGTCTTAAGTGCTGAACCTGGGTTGAGCTTGTGGCCAACGTTCCCAGGACCCTCTAATTCAGTGAGTATCTGACTCTTTGTTTCTTTTTTTCTGTAGTGTTGATCTGCAGCAGCAAATTATGACCATTGTAGATGAACTGGGCAAGGCTTCTGCCAAGGTATTGGGGAGTCTTTAGATGGAGGGGCTCTCTGGGGCCAGTAGATAAGGGAGGCATAGGTCCTTTGAAATGGACTTGCAGAAAGTCTGTCTATCTTCCTGGCAGGCTCAGCATCTTCCTGCTCCCATCACCAGTGCATCAAGGATGCAGAGTAACCGCCATGTTATGTATGTGCTCAAAGACACTTCAGCGCGACCGTGAGTGCCAAATGCCCTTCCATCCCATACTTGATTCCTTCCTTCCCCAACCCCTCTTCCTTTTTTGACTCTCCCTTACAAATAGTTGCTACTAGCTTGTTTTACTATTTTCCCCATCCTACAGGGCTGGAAAAGGAGCCGTTATCGGCTTCCTTAAAGTTGGATACAAGAAACTCTTTGTACTGGTGAGTATTACTGGAAGCTGAGAGTTCACATGCCTTGGCTTCTAAGAATAAAAGTGCTGGGAGTTGGGAGGCGGCAACGATGTCTGGGTCCTAAAAGGTACTTGTTTTTCTTTATCTCGTAGGATGATCGTGAGGCTCACAATGAGGTAGAACCACTTTGCATTCTAGACTTTTACATCCATGAGTCACTTCAGCGCCATGGCCATGGGCGAGAACTCTTCCACTATATGTTGCAGGTGTAACTTACTTATCTTTTCACCAGTCCATCCAAAATAGAGATCAAAGGCCCCTTTGCGCTGAGCCCTCCCAGAGCCCTTGCCTTCCACCCTCCTGCCTGCCATGTTCCCATATCCTCCTATTCCCTTCCCAGGCTGCTGGGTTCCTGTTGGCATGCTCTCCCCCCACCTTCTCCTACCCTGAGTCTCCTGTTCCCTGCAGAAGGAGCGAGTTGAACCACACCAACTGGCCATTGACCGACCCTCACAGAAGCTGCTTAAGTTCCTGAATAAACATTACAACCTGGAGACCACAGTTCCACAGGTTAGAGGTTTCAGAGGGTAGATCCTTACTGATCCTTACTAATGCTCAGCAAAGAAGTGGCATCCTCCAAGCACTTCTTATTCCCCATTATATAGGATTCATTTCATACAGCTAAGCTCTTCCTTTTTTTTTTTTTTTCCTTTTTTTGTGGTAACATCTCTCATTCTGCAGCTATTCATAGTCATCTATTTTAATTTTTTGCTGTTCTGTATACCCAGTAATATGTTTGTGCCCCAAACATAGCCAGCTCATTTGCATCTCCTTGTTTTTACAGAGGTCTTTACTCAATGTTTATTAAGGCCCAGAAAAGTATATATTTCTTATCCTTTGGGAGCTTTGGCTTTATATGGAGAATGTGGTTTGTGTATAAGTAAATACAGTATAACGTTACTAATGCTATCCATTCATTTAGCAAGTATTTATTGAGCACTTGACACTATTCTGGACACTAGGAATACTTGACAAAACAAATAAAAGTTTCTGGCCGTGTGGAGCTTATATCCTAGTTGGTGAGACAAACATAATGTGTGACTATTTACTATGGTTGATGATAACGTGCTCTGGAAAGATGAGAGCCACTAAGAAGGCTTGCGAGTACCGCTGTGGAGATGGGAGTGCATGGGCTTGTGAGTCAGATAATGGAGAGTGTAGAGAGGGCATCCCAGGCAAAAGGAATGGCTCGTGCAAACTCCATGAGATGGGGATGTGCCTGAGCAAGTGAATTGGCTGGTGTGGCTACAGCAGCAGGAGTGAAGGGGAGTGTGTAGATTAGATCACGCAGCAGCGGGGGAGGAATAATATTTCCAATCTGACAGGTTATTGTAAAGGCTTTGGCTTATGCTCTGAGTGGAAAGAGGAGAGTCATAGTAGGTGTTTGAGCAGAGGGATGATACCATCATACTTTTAGCCAGATCACTTTGGCTGTTAAGGATAGCGAGCAAGTAGACCAGTTAGGAGGCAACAATCCTGATGAAAAATGGTGGTGGTTCAAACCAAGATGGTAGCAGTAGAGAGGGTAAAGGGTGGTCAGATTTTAAATATTTTGAAGTTAAATAAGATTTCCTGGTAGATTATCTGTGGAGAAAGAGAAAGAAGGAGTGAAGAATGATCCCAAACTCAGCCTGAGCCATTGGACAGATGAAGTTTCCGTAACAGAGATGGTAGGTGGAGCAGCCTTGGGAAGATATAGTAGGAGTCCACTTTGATTTTGTTAATCCTAGGTTGAGTAGACAGTTGGGTACTTCTCTGGAGTTTAAAAAGAGAAGAGGTTTGGAACAGAAAGGTTTCTGCATACATAGGGTATTGAAAGCAGTGAGGCAGAATGAGGTCACCAAGGAGTGAGTGAGTATAGAGAAAGACAAATGGTTCAAGGACTTGCGCCCTTGAGTACTCTTTTTTTTTTTAAGATTTTATTTATTTATTTGACAGAGAGAGACACAGCAAGAGAGGGAACACAAGCAGGGGGAGTGGGAGAGGGAGAAGCAGGCTTCCCGCTGAGCAGGGAGCCCAATGTGGGGCTCGAACCCAGGACCCTGGGACCATGACCTGAGCCCAAGGCAGACAGACGCTTAACGACTGAGCCACCCAGTATTCTTTTAAGAGGTGTCATGGAGCATGAGAACAGCACTAGGGAATTAGATGAAAATTTTTAGGTAGGGTGCCCTGGAAGGCCAGTGAAGAAGGTGTTTCCAGGAGACAGAAATGGCTTACTGAGTAAAATGCTGCTGATCAGTGAGGTCAGAAGAGGCCTGAGAGGTGACCATTGTATTTAGTCACCTGAGGCCACTGGTGATCCTAATTAGCCTTTTCCCTGCAGTGGTGGGTGGAAGTCTGAATGGATTGGGCTTTAGGAGATTGAGAAGCTAGGAAGTGGAGATAACAAGAATAGGCCACTCTTTTACTTTTTTTATTTTTTATTTTTTTAAAGATTTTATTTATTTATTTGACAGAAAGAGACATAGCGAGAGCAGGAACACAAGCAGGGGGAGTGGGAGAGGGAGAAGCAGGCTTCCCGCGGAGCAGGGAGCCCGATGTGGGACTCGATCCCAGGATCCTGGGATCATGACCTGAGCCGAAGGCAGACGCTTAACCGACTGAGCCACCCAGGCACCCCAGGCCACTCTTTTAAATGCTGATTTAATGGGGGCATGTGGGTGGCTCAGTCGGTGAAGTGTCTGACTCTTGATTTTAGCTCAGGTCATGATCCTCAGGGTCCTGGGATTGAGCCCTGTGTCTGTCTGGCTCCATGCTCAACGGGGAGTCGGCTTGAGGATTTCTCTCCTTCTCCCTCAGCCCCTCCCCCCACTCGCCCTGCAAGCTCACTCTCTCTCAAATAAGGAAGTCTTTTTTTTTTTTTTAAGATTTTATTTATTATTTGAGAGAGAGTGTGAGCGCACAAGTGGGGTGAGGGGCAGAGGGAGAAGCAGGTTTCTTGCCCGGCAGGGAGCCCGATGCAGGACTCGACCCGAGAACTCCGGGATCGTGACCTGAGCCGAAGGCAGGTGTTTAACTGGCTGAGCCACCCAGGTACCCCTTTCAAATAAGTAAATCTTAAAAAAAAAAAAAAAAAATTGCAGCTTTAAGGGGAACAAAGAAAAAGAGCAAGAGGTAGAGGGGAAAGTGGATTAAGAGAGGGTTGATTGTTTTCAGTTGGAAGCACCAACAGCATAAGAATGCCTTGGTAGAGAGAAAATGTGATGATGTCAGAGAACGTGAGGAGAATTGCTGAAGCAAAGTCATGGGCAGGAGGGGTTGGGATTGGGTTGACAAGTTTGCCTTGGATTCAGAGCATGGACATTTAATCCACTCTAATATGATTTGATTGATGTGCTTACAAAGGAGGCATAAAGACATGGTGAGTGCTACCTTGGGGTGGGGATTGGGTAAAGGAAGGCTTGACTTAAGCTTAATCTTGAAAGGTGAATGTCATGGGGACAGTGGACAAGTGGGCAGGCTAAAGTGCATTTCATATACAGGAACCAGCATGAGCAAAAGCAGGTATTCAGTTATCTTCTGGGGTATTGCAGGCAGTTTGGTGTGGCAGGAGTGCTGGGCATGTGCTTGTTTCTAGAGGAGGGTGGGTGGCTAGACAGGGTCAAGGCAGGAAACAGGCAGGGTCTATTTATACTTAGAATGTCCTCCCCTTGTACATTGTTCCATTAAGAGGCAGTGGAGAGCAGTGGAAGGAGCACAGTATTAGGCATGGCCAGGTAACCTGTAAGACCAAAACATAGAGTATAAATAATCATGTAAACAATGTAAACAATGATTCATGAGCTCTGTGTGCTATCTACGTGAATCATCTCAGTTGATCCTTATACATCTCTTTGAGGTGGGTACTTTTATTGACTCCATTTGAGGTTTATACAGATTTAGTGACCAAGCTAATAAGTGGCAGAGCAAGAATTTGAACCCATTGCCACTCTTTTTAAAAAAAATGTTAAACATTTTATTTGGTTTGTTTTTTTTTTTAAGATTTTATTTGACAGAGAGACACAGCGAGAGAGGGAACACAAGCAGGGGGAGTGGGTGAGGGAGAAGCAGGCTTCCCGCCCAGCAGGAAGCCCGATGCGGGGCTTGATCCCAGGACGCTGGGATCATGACCTGAGCCGAAGGCAGCCGCTTAACAGACTGAGCCACCCAGGCGCCCCTATTTATTTCTTTATTGCTATTTTTTAAATTTAAATTTAATTAATTAACCCACTGCCCACTCTTGATGACTACACTGTATTATTCCTGGCTGAACTGCTACAGCTAGAGTCTGGGGCCCAGTTCTGTCGCTTGTTAGCTACTTGGCTTTGGGCAGGCCATGTCTCCAAGCCTTTACTCTTTAACACAGGGACTCCAAGGATTGTTGTGAAGGCCAAATTGAATATGATAATATAATGAAATCACTCTAAGTCAATTACTAGTTATCAAAGTGGCACCCTGTCCTCCAGCATGTCTTCCCTTGACAGTTCCACCCATTTGAACCCTAGTTAAAGCTTAGTTATTCTCAGTATTTGTATACTTAAGCCATTTGGCCTGGTGTGTTTATGTGTGTATGTTTAAGCTTCTGTTTTGAAAGTTTTGGATGCCTCTTCTTTCCTGGTGTTCTGTACACCCTGTCTCCATTAGCCTGGGTCCTGGGAGAATTAAAAAGTAGGGTACAGACTTTTGGTTTTTGAGATAAAATGCACTTTTACCTATCTAAAATACACCGTTCAGTGGTTTTTAGTATATTCACAGTGTTGTCTGATTATCCCTGCTAATTCCAAAACTTTTCCATCACACAAAGAGAAACCCAGAACTCATTAAGCAGTCACTTCCCATACCCCTTTCCCCAGCCTTTGTCAACCAGTAATCTGCTCTCTGGCAATTTGCTTATTCTGCACATTTTATATAAATGGAATCCTACAATATGTTTGGCTTTCACTTACTATAATGTTTTCAGAGGGTTCATCCATGTTGCAGCATATATCAGTACCACATCCCTTTTTATGGGTGAATAATATTCTATCATATGAATATACTACATTTTGTTTATCCATTCATCAGCTGATTCACATTTGGTTGTTTCCATGTTTTGGTGATGAATATTTGTAAGATTTTGTTTGCACATATCTTTTCAGTTTTCTTGGGTATATACCTAAGAGTGGAATTACTGGGTCATATGGTAATTCTTTTAATTTTTTGAGGAACTGACAGAATGTTTTTCCACAATGACTACAACATTTTACATCCTCTACCAGCAATGTACGAGTATTCCAATTTCTCAACATCCTCACCAACATTTGTCATTTTCCTTTTTTTTTTTTTTTTTTAAGATTTTATTCATTCACTTGGGGCGCTTGGGTGGCTCAGTCGTTAAGCGTCTGCCTTCAGCTCGGGTCATGATCCCGGCGTCCTGGGATCGAGCCCCGCATCGGGCTCCCTGCTCAGCGGGAAGCCTGCTTCTCCCTCTCCCACTCCCCCTGCTTGTGTTCCTGCTCTCGCTATCTCTCTCTCTGTCAAATAAATAAATAAAATCTTTAAAAAAAAAAAAAGATTTTATTCATTCACTTGACAGAGAGAAAGAGAGCATAAGCAGAGGGAGTGGCAGGCAGAGGGAGAGGGAGAATCAGGCTCCCCATGGAGCAGGGAGCCTGACATGGGCCAATCCCAGGACCTGGGATCACAAACCGAACCCAAGGCAGAAGCTTAATTGACTGAGCCACCCAGGCGCCCCACCTTTTTTTTTTTTATATTTTAATTAGCTATGGTAGTGGGTATGCACTGGTATCTCTTTGTAGTTTTGATTTACATCTCCTTGTTGACTAATGATGTTCAGCATCTTTTCAAGTGCTGATGGACCATTTGCATATCTTCTTCAGAGAAGTGTTTATTCAAGTCCTATGCCCATTTTTTTTTTTAAGTAGGCTTTACACTCAGCCTGGAGCCCAGCACGGGGCTTGAACTCATGATCCTGAGATCAAGACCTGAGCTGAGATCAAGAGCCAGATACTTAACCAACTGAGCCACCCAGGCACCCTCCTTGTGCTTTTTTTTTTTTTTTTAAAGATTTTATTTATTTTGACAGAGAGAGAGACAGCGAGAGAGGGAAGACAAGCAGGGGGAGTGGGAGAGGGAGAAGCAGGCTTCCCGCAGGGCAGGGAGCCCGATGCGGGGCTTGATCCCAGGACCCTGGGATCGTGACCTGAGCTGAAGGCAGGCGCTTAACGACTGAGCCACCCAGGCGCCCCCTTGTGCTTATTTTTAAAGTGTGTTCTTTGTCCTTGAGTTGTAACTGTTCTTTATATGTTCTAGATATAATACCCTTATCAGATGTACGATTCGCAAATATTTTTTTAAATTTTTATTGTTATGTTAATCACCATACATTACATCATTAGTTTTTGATGTAGTGTTCGCAAATATTTTTTCTATTCTGTGGGTTTTTTCATTTTCTTGATCGTGTCTTTGGAAATACAAAAGATTTTGCTTTTGGCCAAGTCCAGTTTATTTTTTTTTCTTTTTTTTTTAAAGATTTTATTTATTTTTTGAGAGAGAGAGAGAATGAGAGACAGAGAGCATGAGAGGGAGGAGGGTCAGAGGGAGAAGCAGACTCCCTGCCGAGCAGGGAGCCGGATGCGGGACTCGATCCCGGGACTCCAGGATCATGACCTGAGCCGAAGGCAGCCGCTTAACCAACTGAGCCACCCAGGCGCCTATTTTTTTTTTCTTTTGTTGCTTATGCTTTGGTGTCATATTTAAGAAACAATTGCCTAATCCAGGTCATGAAGATTTTCCCATTTCTTTCTTTTTTTTAGAGAGAGAGAGTGCATGAGCAGGGTGGGGGCGCAGAGGGAAAGAATCTTAAGCAGACTTCTAGTTGAGCACGGACAGTCTCATGACCTAAGCTGAAACCAAGAGTCAGCCGCTCAACTGACTGAGCCACCCAAGCACCCCCGCCCCCATGTTTCCTTCTAAGAATTTCATCGTTTTAGCTCTTGACAGTTAGATCTTTGAGGTGCCTGCCTGGCTCAGTCTGAAGAGCATGTGACTCTTGATCCTCCAAATTGTGAGTTTGAGCCCCATATTGGATGCAGAGATTACTTAAATAAATAAACTTTAAAAAAATTTTTGAAACCCAAAACATTTAGGGTCTTTGATCCAGTTGAAATTATTTTTGTCTGATGTGAGGTAGAGGTCCACATTCATTATCTTGCATGTGAATATTCAGTTGTCCAAGCACCATTTGTTAAAGAAGCTGTTTTTCCCCCCATTGAATCGTATTGGCACTCCCTTGAAAATTGACCGTAGACACATGGGTTTATTTCTGGACTCTATTCATGCCATCGGTCTGTATGTCTAGCTTCAGGCCTCTTCCACACCATTTTGATTGCAATACCTTGTAAGTTTTGAAATCAGGAAGTGTGAATCCTCCAAGATTGTTTTGGCTATTTGAGGTCCTTTATAATTCCATATCAACTTTTAGGATCAGCTTACCAGGGTCTGAATTTTTGACTGAGTCTGTCAACAAGGACAGGAAGGCTGGCTTCTGTTCCTCCCACTGTGGTTTTTATGGGACCAGGTTGTGTCCCCATGTAGTGGTGAATGGCTGAATGAACAACGTATATTTCACTTGTTTCATCTCATAGGTCAACAACTTTGTGATCTTCGAAGGCTTCTTTGCCCATCAGCATCGTAAGTGTTGGCCAAGTAGTTGGGGTGAGGGGAAGGACAGAGGTGGATTCTTGATCCCACTGGCACCCTCACTGAGGGGCACCACCGCTTCCTTCTCACAGGGCCCCCTGCTCCCTCCCTGAGGGCATCTCGACACTCTCGCGCTGCCATGGTTGATCCTACACCCGCTGGTAAAGCTGCAGTGAATGGGCGGAACTGTAGGCTATGGTGGCTAGTTCCTCTGGAGGCCACAGGGGGCACAGTGCAATTGTGGGCAATTTGGGAAAATTCTCAAGCAGCCAAAGTCTCCAGCAGTTGTTACCCATCTGCTTTTGCCCTCATGAGCTTAGTACATCTTACGCTTGTCAGAACTTTTAACTAAGTGAGCTCATTGGGACCTGTTTGATGATTGATATTGATGCGGTCTTTTGCCGCTTCAGGCCCATCAAAATAGGCCAGGGTCACCTTCCTTTGCAGACCCCTCAGGTTTCTGTCAGTCAAGGGACAGACAAGTGCGGTCAGCCCTTCCATTTCCAGTCATAGAATAGTGACATGAATGGTCCAAAGTTAAACATTAGTTTTAGAAAATAACGCTCAGATTTTATAATATTTCCAACCAAATAATGAAATCAATCTGGAGAAACCAAATCTAGGAGGTACTGAAATGCTGCCCAAGCTCCCCATTCCCTCCTCATACACACATATTCCCTGGCAGTCTGAGCCCCACTCCTTCCTCACTGCCTCCCACAGCTTGCACAGAAGTGCCCCCATGCTGAGCTAGCTGGCTTTGTGGCTAGCTCGCCCCTCCTCCGTAGCCAGGAAAGGGAGTAACCACTACCCAAAGAACAATCTGTTACCATTTACTAGCTTTGACCAGTGTCGGGCACTGGGAGGCAGTTCATATCCAGGACTCGCTTTGCTTGCCAAGGCCTCCCCCATCCAGCTCCTGCTGACTACAGGCTGTGAGAGGGAGTGAGGGCCCACAAGGGCGGTGAGGGCCCAAGCCCACAGGGGAGGGGACCATGGATAAAGCTTAAGTGGATTTGCTGAGAAATCTCTCCTTTGCCACACACAATAGAGAACCTCTTGAGAGGGAAAGGGAGGGAGCAAATAGAAAAGCGAGGGCATGGGAAGCAGAGCTTTGGATAGTATGTTAGCCTCCCATTTACTCTGCTAACTCCAAATGTCTTTGTTTTCTCCTCAAACTTTGTTTTTCCTAATAAAGCTTCAATCTTGCCCTAGAAGGAGAGGTTCTGCCCTACCCTAACCTCCCCTGAGCTCTCCAAAGCAATTCCTAATTAACCAAGGACTTTGTCCATCTCATCTAGAGGGCCCGGCTGGGACCATTCCACTGCCCCAGAATCCCAGGGGGGCCTGACAGCACCCACTGACAGTAAGAGCTTGCCTCCCTTAGCCACCTTTCTCCTGCATCTCCCAGGCCCGAGTCTCCCCCTAGAACTTTTCCCCCAACTCTGCATTTGGCCTGCTCCTTCTGGCTCCCCTCAAAAGTGCTCCAGCATTTCCCCTGAATTCCCTCTTGGTGGGAAGGCATTGCCACAGCTTCTGCGATGGAGCTGAACTGAACTCTCTCCTTCCCCAGGAGGAACTGTGGTGTGAGGGAGCAGACGTTTGGGGTCAAGGGGGTAGTAAACTGGGAGGAGGGGTGCAAAGTATATCTTCTAATGCTTACCTTGTCTGTGTCCTGTCCACTGTCAGCTCCAGCAAGAAAGCTGCCACCCAAGAGAGCAGAGGGAGACATTAAGCCATATTCCTCTAGTGACCGAGAATGTAAGACTCGGGTAGGGTGGCTGGGCTTGGGGGCCTTAACCCAGGACAAGTAGTTCTCTCTAAAGGCTCTGATTTCTCTTTTTTCTACCCAAATCTTTGCTGTCATCACTCTTTCTCCTTTTTCTTCTTTCTCCGTCTTGCTCTGTATTTTCCCTCTTGCCAGTTCTGAAGGTAGCTGTGGAGCCTCCGTGGCCCCTAAACAGGGCCCCTCGCCGTGCTACGCCTCCAGCCCATCCACCCCCCCGCTCCAGCAGCCTGGGAAACTCACCAGAACGGGGTCCCCTCCGCCCCTTTGTGCCAGAGCAGGAGTTGCTGCGTTCCCTGCGCCTCTGCCCCCCACACCCTACCGCCCGCCTTCTGCTTGCTACTGACCCTGGGGGCAGCCCAGCCCAACGTCGGCGCACCAGGTAATAGGAGTTGGAGGGTTAGGGAGCCTCAGAACTGTCAAAGAAGGTGTTAGCAATGGCAAAGGGCAGTTTGGATCTGCCAGAGATGAGAAGCAATAGGACAGGGAGATTGGAGAGTCCTGACACCTTTTGAGAAGAGTATATTAGACCAGATTTGTGGGAGCAGTCTGGAAATAAGTTACATGAAGGAGTAGAATAGTACTTTATATGGAGTCTAGGGACTCTATAGTTTTTAAAGTGAGAGATGGGAGAAAGGATAGAAATAACAGATCCATTGGGTTGGGGGGAACTGAGTCTCTCGTATTGGGGAAATCTTGGTTTAATGCTTACTGGGAAGATGCAATGTTTCTGACAGTTTGGGGAGCCACTGGCCTCATGTTAGTCCTTTGTGTAGCAGGAACCCATCCCAGCAAACAGAGGGGGCATCTCCTTGATTTCTCTCCCTAGCTTTCTCTTCACCTCTGACTTCTCTTTCTGTTTTTCTCTCTCCCCCATTTTCCCTTTCCCTTTTCTCCTGTCCATAACACCCTTCCACAGCTCCCTTCCCCGCTCTGATGAGAGTCGATACTGACAGATAGTTACCCCCTTCCCTCCCTGGGAGACCTGGGGTAGGCAGAGCCCCTTCTCCCTGAGAACCCCAGGTCCACTCTTCCATTGTAGTCCCCAGGTTCCAGTGGAACCTGACAGAGCTCGTAGGATTTCCTCTTCCTCTTTCTTGGGCAAAGGTGTTGTCAGGGTCCCAGATGGCCTAATACTTTGTAGCTTTTCTTACTGTAGAAAGCACGCCTTTTTTCCTAAGTGGGCTCTGAACACTCCCACAAGATAGCCTGATTCGCTGCCAGATCCCTTGGTTGGGTGGCTCATACTCATTATCCAGAGAAGCACACTCTTGCTTGCTATTAGAATCTAGAACACCTTAGGAAGGTCCAAGGGCCTCCTGTGCCAGGGAAACCTTTTTAGGAGTCTTGTCCATGGAGTAAATCCCATAGTCCTTCTACAGTGTTACTGGTGGCTCGAATACTGTTTTGTGGTGCCTACCATACTTACCTTCTCAGCCTGCTGAAGACAGCCAACGAGCTCTGCTTCAGAGCAGTTCAGTGATAAAGACAGTCCCCAAAGGGATCCACTCAACATTGCCAAACTCTTAATCTCCCCATTTTTTGTGTATGTGTCTGGGAACCCCTAAGCTGATGTCTGCTTTGAGGCTCTAAAGACTCCCCACACTTCTAAAGATACCACCACTTCCCCCAGATCCAGATTCTGTGAGGAAGTTTGTTTCTTGGCAGTAGATCCCCACTGAGTATCCTGGGATCACTCTTAGCCATGTTTCAGAAGACAAGCCCTGAGTCTCAAGTTATCTGTTAGCTTCTGGGATCCTCTCTCGCATACACCCTGCCCCAGTAGGTAGGTGATTATATATTGCAGTCTTGTGAGATTGTCTCGAGGTGATAGGGGAACTCTTCCTCTGGCCCTTCCTCCATAGCAAGAACCTTCCCCTGCTCCGTACCCAGGGTATGGGCCATCTTCCCCCTCCCTACTCTCTGAATGTGTGGTAGATCAGGTACCCCCACTGTGTTCCCCCATCCCAGTACTTGGGAGCAGGATCTCCCTCTCTCCCAACTCCTTTTCCTTCTCCTTTTCAGTGTTGTCTGAATAAAGTGTGCATTCTTTTGTGTTTTTTAAATGGACATTTTCAATGAAAAAAAAAAAAATCAAAAAAACCCCAAACTTCAGGTCTCAGCCTCATTTGTGTGTCACCTGATTTTTTTCCCCTGGGATCCCTGGTCCTCTGATCTTCCTTACCTTTGTGATCTGCTGGATCTTCTGCGGATTCTGTCTCCTGTCAGTCCCTGGATCCCTCTGTATAGGCTTCTAGGGCTACTCCTCCATTCCCTCCAGAAACCTCCAGCTCTTCCCGGTGACTTCTACCCTTTAGCGTAGGCCAGCCATTGCTGAAATGTCAAGATTTAGCAACATCTCTGGGATCCACTTATTGTCTCCTGACTATTCCCTGAATTATTCTTCCCATTCTGATTTCTTGCCCTCTCCCCCATCCTTGGACCTCTCTCAAGACAATTCCTTTTCCTCCTGAATTCAGCCTTGTCACTCCCTATTTCCCTCTGGTCTGATGTATCCTATAATTAAAGTAACCATGTTTTCTAAACCAAACACCAGGGCACCTGGTCCAACAAATTTTTTTGCCTGAGTCTGGTTTTCTGGCATAACTTGGGTCACATTTAGCCTTACTTTTAACACATTTGACCTTAACAACAACAAACCAGAACTGCTCCAGAAAGTCTTGGGGTATAAAATGAGCTCCCTCCCCTTTTCTGAGGCACAGCTTAGTTTAAAACCCCATAGGAATGGTAATTACCCTTCTCTTTTTCCTGTACTATTCCTTTCATTCCTCTCCTCTGATTGCTCCATACCCACTCATCTTTCTTCCTATAGCCTCTTCCCCATCATCTCCCATTTCTTCTACAGGGGGGCTCCCCCAGGGCTGGTAGCCCAAAGCTGCTGCTACAGCCGCCATGGGGGGTTGAGTTCCTCATCCCCCAATACAGGTAAGTATTCATCCCTCTTTACCCTCAAATCAGGTAGGCCATATTCACTACCTACTCCAGCCTTCCCATGCACATGCCTGGTGTTTCCATAGGCAACCAAGAATCGAAGCAGGGGGAACAGGAAACAGAGAATAGGTGAGGTCTGAGCCCCTCCTCCACCAGCCTCCCACCACCTCTGACTCCTTCTCCTAACATCACTCTCAGCTCCTTTCTCTTCTGAACACCAGCTCCTCCCACAAACTGTTCTACCTAACATCCTAATATCCTGAAACCCTCTTTCCCCATAGGCTCAACTCGTGCTTACCTTTGGTACTGAGGGGTTTCAAATTTGGATGTAGCACTGACGGTTTCAGCCTCATATGCCATCATATGTCCTACTCTACATCAGGGCCCGACAGACCTTGAAGAGTCTCTGCTCTTAATTGCCACTTTAATATCCCTATAACCCACTCTCCATCTCCCTCCCACCTACCAGGTCTGCCAGCGAGGAGCAGGTCTTGTCACAGGCTGGGTCTGGGGAAGAACACACGCACACAGTTCCTCCCCAGGCCCAGGCCCTACCAGCCCAGGCCTGGACAATGGGTGGGGACATATTCAACGCCAGGTTCATTCGAAACTTGCAGGACCGTCGCAGCACCAGGCCTTGGTGACCGCAACACCCCCTCACACCTTCAAAGTCAGTATTCTCACTACAGGAGGTAGCCAAAGCCCGCCGTCATAAGGATGTATTCATGCATTCATTCATTAATTCAACAGGCTTTATCAATGCCAAGTCACTTGTATTTTATTTTTAACCTGAGTAATAAAAGTATTTATTTTTATCACGAGAGCTACTGCAAGTTGATGGTCATTATTTCAACCCCACCCCTCGCTCTTCGTTGTACCTGGTTCAGGCCCGTTTTCTCCCAGGTTTTTGCGCAAGCGCCACCGCCAGGACCTAAATTACTGCGCAAGCGCTCTGAGACGGCCTCGAGAGCCGGCAAGCGCAGGCGCACTCACTGCGGGCAAGTGCCTCACCACCGCCCTGGAACCCGCTGCAGTGCGCAAGCGCGCAACATCTCCGTTTCCCCCCCTTCAACCCCCACCCCCCCCCTTCCCCTTCAAGAAGCCGGCTCCGGGGCGCGCTCTCCCCTGTGAGGAGGCCAGAGGCCGGACACTGGAGGCGCTGTCTCCGCTCCCGTTAGATCATGTACCAGCCCAGCCGAGGGGCGGCCCGGCGTCTCGGCCCCTGCCTCCGCACGTACCAGGCTCGCCCCCAGGTGAGAGCAGAGGGGAAACGGGGAGGGAGGAGAGGGGGCGGGGAGAGACCCTCCTCAGAGCCGGCGTGTGGGGCGGAGCGCGCGCCCCTAGGCGCAGGCGCAGTGGCGTCCTATCGCCCCTTCTCACCTGTGCAGGGCGGTGTGTGGAGGGGCGAGGGGTCGCGGGGACTCCAGGACGGCGCAGCGCGACGTGGCGTGCACGGGATGTTCTCCCGGGTCTAGGGCGTGCAGGCGGGAGTGAACCAGGGACGGCGGGGCGCGGCCGCATTTCGCCGGCGTTTCCGCGGTTACCTGTGCCTGGAGGTGATTTGAAGGACAAGGGGCGGAGAGGTTCGCAGCCTGGCCGCGGAGCCGCCCCGGAATTCCCAGGTCCCGACCAGACAGACCTGCCGGCCGCCCTCTGCAGCCGGCGCATCTTACAGCGGGATAGCGGTCAGGGCAGGAAGGCCGGCCTGGGTGGATCCGGTTCGGACCCCTGCGCCGGGCCGGGCCAAATGGCCACGCCCCCGGCGGAGACGGCGCCTCGGGGACTGAGGTACCCGCAGGGCCAGCCAGCCTTCCCGGAAGTGAGGCCCCCCCGCCCCCCAGGGGCTCCCTGAGAGCGGAGGGACCCGGGCTAGGCCTGACTTTGGGTGACCTCCCGCCCGTCGCACTTGCAACGTCGGTAAACCAGAGGAATGGAGCCCAGCCTTTAACGGTCTCGGCTTGTTTGTGTCGTTAGAGGAGCCCGAAATGATAGTAGCTTACATTTGCATACAATTTACAGATGGCGAAGTTTTATTTACATTTATTACGTCATATGGTTCTCAAAACAATTCAGTGTGGCTTCATCGTCCTCGCTTATAAGAGGACATTCATGAGATAGGCATAGGGAATGAGAGTGCCCAAGGTGTCACAATGTAATCAGAGCTAGGAGAAGTGTCTTCTACTTACAGTTGGATGTTTTTTTTCCATCACACACTTAATGGTGGAGTTTTGTTAAGGGCTACATCATTTCATCCACAGTACACTAAAATCTGTTGCTCCGTTCCTTTGTTCATTTTTCAGAATATTAGGATTCTTTCTGTAAGAGAGGTGTAACTGCCCCTAAACAGTGTTGGGATCTTAAACAAATGTAAATGTATTTACTAACGTTTTTGGGGGAAGTACTTGTACCTGTTTCCTCTTTTCAGTAGAGATGGAGATGAATTAATCCCATTTTCCTCCTGTCAGGAGGAGCAGGTGGGATTGGAAGCGTGTTAATGAACAGAGTTTAGATGAGGGGGCATCAGGCAGCTAGATTCTTATATTTTTCCCTTTTATTCTTCCTCCTTAGGACCAGCTTTCTCCACGGGCTCTACCATTCCCACCCCTTTGGCCCCCCTCCACAACAACCACTTCTCCATCTTATCTTCTCTGGTCTCCCCCACCCCCACCCATCTGGCTGCTGCCACCAGCTCCCCCACTACCTCTCCCTCAGATCCAGGCCCTCAGCTCACCATGGGTGGTTCTCCCTCCAGGAAAGGGGGAGGAGGGGCCGGGACCTGAGATGCATAGCGGCTGCCTGGATGGGCTTAGGAGCCTATTTGAGGGACCTCCCTGCCCCTGTCCTGGGGCTTTGATACCTTTCCAAGCCCCTGGGACCTGCTGCCCTTCCCCTGCCACTCCACCAGGAGATCCGAGTATGGAGGAACACCTGGCTGTCATGTATGAGAGACTGAGACAAGAGGTAAGTCAGCTTGAAAGTGGCTTTCATCTGCAGTGAGAAGGGATGTAGGTAATACTTGGAAGTAGAGGGTTAGTCAACTGGATTTTCTTGGAATTAACGAGGCAGGCATGTATATATCTTATAAACATTTCCCAAGGAAATGATGTTCTTCAGTTTGGATTTAAGGGAAGTTAAACATGCAATGAGATGACTTTTTATTCAGAGGGGAGTAAGGAAGCATCAAAAAGAGAAAACTGAGAAGTAGGATCATCTTTTCTTTCCTACTGGGCTGATGCCTTCTTCTTCCACCTAGCTTCCCAATCTCTTCCTTCACTCCCACGACTATACTCTCTACTCATCGGATGTGGAATTCATCAATGAGATCCTGAACATCCGTACCAAGTGAGAATCCAGGCACGGGTAGGGCCTTGGGGAGGAAAAGCACTGCGTGCTTTCTACTTGATCTTTTTCATTTACCAGAGAAGGTCCTGCCACTTCTCACAACTGTTTCCCGTTCCCCAGACAGAGGCCAGTTTGGTTTTCTGATTATGCCATCATGAGCGATCTTTCCCATTCCTTCTTCCCAGGGGCCGGACATGGTACATTCTGTCACTGACCCTCTGCCGCTTCCTGGCCTGGAACTATTTTGCACAGCTTCGGTTGGAGGTTCTACAGCTGACCCGCCACCCAGAGAACTGGACCCTGCAAGCCCGCTGGCGGCTTGTGGGGCTGCCCATCCACATGCTCTTTCTGCGTTTCTACAAGCGTGACAAGGAAGAGCTTTATCGGTAAGAGGAAGTGAGAAAAGATCCAGTTTCCTAATCCTATCTTTAGGACTCTGGTCTAGTCTTCCAGACAATCCTTGATCTACCCTGACTTGACTGCAGGCTCCTTGAGGGCAGGGATTTTGTTTTCTCTATTTTAATATAATAGTGCTCGCTTCGGCAGCACATATACTAAAATTGGAACTATTTTAATATAACAGAAATCGGGGACTTTGAGTGTGTTAGGAAACCTCTAGACTCAGTTCCTTTTTGTACATTATGTGGCACATGGTAGTCATTCAAGTGTTTAGTGAACAAATGAAAATTCCTGTCTGCTAAGTTGAGCCTCACAACCTTAGGTAGAGTATTTGGTAAATTTCTGGCATAGAATAGAATCCCAGGAAATTGTTAGGCTCAGCCCAAGCCAGTGATTCTCAAACTTTGCTGCATGGTGGAATCATCTCAGGATCTTTAAAAAATATTGGTGCCAGACATTCTGATTTAAGTGGGACAGGGTACAACCTGGGCATCAGGAGTTTTTGGAGTTTTCCAGGTGATCTAATATGCAGCAAAATTTAGGAACTATGGCTTAAACAAATGCTTGCATTAAACTTTGGGACCAGTCACCTCCCTCAGTAAGCCTCTCTTTTTCCCTTCACCAGGACCTATGATGCCTATTCCACCTTCTACCTGAATTCCAGCGGCCTCATTTGTCGCCATCGCCTAGACAAAGTGAGTCCTTAGGCTGGGTGGGGATGGGGTGAAGGTGTAGAACATCCACCAGCTGGCATTAACCTCTGTCCCTGCAGCTGATGCCTTCACACTCGGCCCCAACGCCTGTGAAGAAGCTGCTAGTGGGAGCCCTGGTGGCTCTGGGACTGTCAGAGCCAGAACCCAACTTACACGTGTGTTCCAAGACCTGATCCAGGAACTGGGATGGAGGCAGCACTGAAGACTTCGCTATATACGCACAAGAGGAAGAGGTGGGGGCGGAGGCCGAGAATCTCAGGAGCCAGCTTCCTCCCCTCTTTATTCTCCTTTTTTTGCCATCTCATGCTGTGTAAAGCTGCTGTGTAATTTAACTTGTAAATAATAAAGTCTAAGTGAATATATGAGAATTTCCTGTCACCTTCTCTGCATCTCAGAAGTTCCCATAAGCTTGGGGCGCCTGGCTGGCTCAGTCAGTAGACCAAATGACTCTTGATCTCGGGGTTGTGAGTGAAGCCCCATGCTGGGCACGGAGCCTACTTAAAATAATAATTCTCTCGCTCCATTTCTCTCTCTCAAATAAATAAATAAAATCTTTAAAAAATAAAGTTCCCACAACCTTTATTTCAAAAATAGAAATTAAATAATGTTACAGAAGGAAAAGGAGCTGGTGTTGGGTTCTATTTGTGTCCCCTCCCCTTTAGCCTAGTTCTTCTCGTGTCTTGCCTGTTTTTTTTGGCATTTTCTTAGAATGGGGATCTTCTAGCTCCTTGGCCTTATAATAGTGGGGAGCCACCTCCAGAAGCCAACTGCTCTCAATCTCCAATACCTACAAGAGGAGAGAAAAAATCCGTACGATTCCCCTTTTTCCAACCTAGACTCTAATGTATGTGTGATCAAAAAAGTTTCTTTCTTCCACCTTTGACTACAGGGCTAGGGGAAAGGTGCCAGGCTCTAAACACTATATACCCCAAGGGCAGACACACCTCTACACGTCATTCAGAATCCCCAGTAAACTATCCCTAAAAAACCTGATCATAAAGACTGTAAAGTACACTCAGGACAGAGATCCCATCTGCTTTGTTCACCATTCTCACCCCAGCATCTGAACCACCAGGATAATAGGCATTCAAATATGCACTGAATGACTATGCAGTTCTTCAGCCTTAGCAGATGCTGACACAACTGGCAAGACACAATGCTTTTCTGTTTTATCCCACCTTACACCACTGTGTTTTCCTGTTTCTCTGCCGGTCTCAGCAACTCGAACCTGGGTTTTTAGCTTGTGAGGACTCCCCCCGCCCCCGCCATCTTCACTGTCCTGGGCAGGGGAAGGTGCCCTCACCTGTCTCATGAACTCCTTGGTGGTCAAGACAAGTTCATGGTAGAGCAGCCAGCGTGGCTGTTCCTCGAAGAGGGAGGAGTTGGGGTGAATGAACACTGTCTGCCGCTGTTTGACCGTGCGGTAGCCGCTCCGGGTCAGCCGGGCCGTGTGGTAGAAGTAGCCAGCGGTGATGGCCTGAGGGGCGGGCAGGAAAGACAGTCACCCGGAAAGCCACATACCTGGGGACCCTAACACGCACTGCCTTTTTAGTTCAGGCTTCTGGAGAATCAGATAGGTAAGGAGTGCACGAAGAATCCATTGAGAAGGAACCCTCAGTGGTCTGGGGAAGACAGCCCAGAAGAGCACACCTTCCACAGGGTAACAGGGCCGACCCTCAGGCTGGAGGGACTGCTGCAGGCCCCCAGAGCAGCTTTGCTCTGCAGGCGGAGGGGGTGTGGGCGACAGGGAGACTAGGCAAGCGCTGACCTTGCGGACACGGATATAGTCCCCCTGGCAAGAGCTGAGACCAACTTCCACGCGCTCCAAGAGCCCCTCCAGCTGTTCCCGCACATCCCGGGCTCGGCGCATCGATCGGAACTGTACAAAGTTCTCATAGCACCACTGGGAAGAGTAACCACTCTCAGCCCACTGGGAAGATGTTACAAAAAAAGTGGGAGTTTAGTGTACAGAGAAACAGAGCTCCCCAGGCCTCTGTCCTTCCCGTCACCCAAGCCCCGTGACCTGCGTATAAACGTTCAGCAGAACCAGGTGGTCTCCACCAGGGAGGAAGAAGTTGACCCGGGCGTTGTCGGCATGGACAAGCTTGTCCTTGGGCCGGTAGAAGATGGAGCTGTTCACACACAGCATGGCAGCCACCGTCAGGATCTCTTCCGAACAGCTATACCTGCGGCAGGAAGGGCGACGCGTGAGGGTTCCAAGGAAGACACAGAGGAACAGACACACGGGAAGGGGAAAAGTGATCGCTGTGTGTAGGTGTGTCCTCACAGGGAGCCTGCCGTTGGGACAGTGGCTACAAATCAGAGCGGACAGATTCTGGTGGTGGCGATGGCAATATGGGTGTCGAGGAGGTGGGCTATCCATGCAGGTGGGGGCAGGAAAGCGCTGGGGACTTCGGAGGGTAGGCAGGACTTCTGCAGGAGGAAGGGGTGTATCGTGCATCAGGGAAAGACAGCACTTCAGGTTCATGGAATGACCTCTGCCCTCAACTACGGCAGAGGACTGGCATTTAAAGGTGGTCCCTCCACAACCACATCTAAATGTTAAGAGCCCCAAACCTTCGGAAGGAGAAAGTCCCCAAACCAGTACACACAGCACTCCTCACGGGTGCTAAGTCTTCCACATCCATTCATGCCCCCAAATTTTGTCAATCTTACTCATTTGGTAAGTGTCTTACTGCCCCTTTGGAGGCAGTAAGAGCTTTCTAGTAACTTATTTGTTAAAGAATAATACAGTAGGGAGAAAAAGAGGAAAAAGAGCAAGGTAACAAAGATGGCACACAGCCAGTTGGTGTGCCGGGGGCCCAGCCAGGGTGGCAGGGGTGGGGGTGGGGTGTGGCGCTTACTTCTCAGAGGCCAAGATCATTTTAGATAACATGGGGTCCACCGGTAGCTCTGCCATCTTTCGACCCGACTAAGGAGAGGAAAAGAGTTGAAGCCAGTCCTCCCTCAGGTGTCCCTCCCCCACTCAAGAGGTCACCCCAGCCCACGCCGCCCTCCCACCTCACCGTGGTGAGCTCCCCGAGGTGGTTGAGGGCTCCCAGGGCATACAGCTGCTCCAAAGCCAACAGCAGGGTCTCGTACGGGGGAGGGTCCAGGAAATCAAAGTGCATTAGGTCATGGATCCCTGAGGAAAGACGCGAGGGGCTAGAAGTTTCTCTGCAGGGATCCGTGACTCTAGCCCCACCTCCTTCCTCTCTCGGGAGGCCCGGGGGACCCCAAGTAACCTAAGCTCTTGAGCAGCAACACAACATTGCCCAGGCTGGTCCTCTGGATCTCCGGCACGGTGGTCTCCTCCAGCTCGTGCTGATAGGCCCAGGCCGTGTACAGGCGGAAGCACTTTCCGGCAGCCACCCGACCGGCCCGGCCAGCCCGCTGATTGGCTGAGGCCTGGAAAGGAAGGAGAGGCAGGCCTGCTGACAATTGGAGAGGGAAAAGGGAAAGACCAATGCTGATGCAAGAAATCTGAGCGGAGGTAGGCTGCTTATTCCCTGTCCTCTAAGCAGCTCCCACAGGCTTCTGAGTTGAACCTTCCCCACGGAGACCCTGCGGGAGCCCAGCCAGGCTGACCTTGCTGCAGGGCGTGATAGTGAGGGATTCCATGCCCGTGCGAGGGTTGTAGCTCTTCTGCTTACAGAACCCTGGATCCAGCACATAAATGATGCCTTCGATGGTGAGTGACGTCTCAGCGATGTTTGTTGCCACAACCACCTGAGTGAGAGGGTGCAGAGTCACCCGGAGACCCCACCCACCACGTGACCTAGAAAAGTCATCCTGGAAGATTCGAGTAGAGAAGCAGCTGCAGATAAAGGACAGGAGCCTAGGGGATTAGCATCTAAAGTCAGGAGAGGGGGACAAGGCCAGGCAGGAGCGAGGGAGGCGAGGGATGAACAGGGACATAATGTGGAAAGGAAATGGGAGAAGAAGGGTTAGAATTGTTTTCAGAGATGGGAGAGGGGGTCCAGGTCCCTGCCTCCATCTTTCCCACCAGCACTTTCACACGCATCCTCAGCCAGGACTTGCTGCAATAGCCTCCTCATGTGTCTCGCCGCCTATACTCCTGGCCCTGCTGACCTGGCATCATTCTGGCATCCAGATGGCCCTTTAAAAATGTAAACCTGTCACATCACTAACCCCATCCATCAGAGGCTTCCCGTCCTCCTCGAGAATTATACGCATCCCCTTAAGGCCCTGAGTCCTCTAGCCCTGGCTACCTTTCTGCCCTCACCTCCGAGCATTACGGGCTCCCTTGCTCCACTCCTGCACACTGCTGCTCCCTGGCTGGGTCGAGCACTCTCCTCCCTCGGGTCCTTGGCATGAGCTGTCCCCTCTACTGGACACCCTCACCTCCCAGATATCAGCCTGGCTCCCTCCCTCACCGGGTTCAGGCCTCAGCTTCCCTTTGACCTTACTGGAGGAGAGGCCCTCCCTAGACCCCAAGGAAAATACCTTCCTGCCATTCCTCACTCCCACTCCCCTGGGGTCAGTCTCCATCTCCTCAGGTGGCACTATATCTCTCCATAGCACTGGTCACAAGTCAGCATTGTGTATTTACGTGTCCACTGGCTCCTAACTTACGTTAGACTGTATGCTCTGTGAAGCTAGGGACTTTGCTCTGTTCATCATTGTCTCTTCATTCCCTAGAACAGTACCTGGCATGTGGGAGGGGCTCATTAAATATTTGTTGAACGGAAGTCTCATCTTTGCTCAAAACCCTTTGATTGCCACCCAATCGTCTAAAGTCCAAATGCTTCCAACTGCTATCAAAGGCCCTCCCTAATCTCAGTCCAGAGTTGTTTTCACCATGTGGACCATCCCCTCAACCTTCTAGATTACACTCGGACCTCAAACATACCTTAGGCCTTGCTCTGGAATTCCCTACCTTTTTTCTTAAAGATCCAGATCAAATCCCACCTTCTGGCACACCAAGGACTTCCCTTCTCCTCTGTGCCTCCACAGTGCTGACTTACCCAGGCACGTATTTGGCTGTGCCTCAGTTCATGCTGAATTCATGCTCTCCCCAGCTCTGGAGGCGAGGGACTGACTACTGCTGGGCCTTGTAGCTGCAGCAGGGCCCAGGACACATCTTGCATAGGGCGGGCACATAGTCTCTTTTTCACTACTAGTTGTATGAACTACAGGGGTGAAGAATGTGGGTTTCTCCAACTGACCTTTCGTGCCCCAGGGGGTGTGGGCTGGAAGATACGAGCCTGCATGTCAGAAGGCAGGTTGGCATAAATGGGTAACACCAAGAGCTCCCGGATTTTGGAGCCCAGGCGGCGGCAGCGATCCTGGAGCATCTCACAGGCGGCCTCAATCTCCTCCTGGATTTGGGATGGAGAGAGCAGGACAGGTCCCCGAGTGACCTAAGGCCCACATGCCAGCTCCGTCTTCCCCTGGGACACATCCTTGCCCCTCCCCCCACGCCTCACACCTGTCCCGTCAGGAACACCAGGATATCCCCAGGGGGCTGGGTCACATGGATCTGCAACACAGACACGACACAAGCCTCCAGGTAGTCAGCCTCTGGAGCCTAGGGAGGAGGAGGAGAGGGCTCACAGCAAGGCCATCCATCTGGGAAACTTCTCCTCCCAGCTCGATAGCCAGTTTATCCCAGTTCCCTTGTGGACTCTCCAATTCCCCTTCCCTCCTTGGGCCAACCTTCTCCGAAGGCCCAGGCTTTGCCACCTCACGCTTAAGCCCACCCTCCCTGAGGGGAGCACCTTGGTATAGAAGATGTCAACTGGAAACCTGCGTCCAGGGATTCGGAAGACAGGGGCGTCATCAAAGAAGGTGGAAAAACGGGCAGCGTCCAGTGTGGCTGAAGCCACCAAAACCTTCAGCTCAGGCCGGAAGCGAGCAACATCTTTGATTAACCCAAAGAGAATGTCTGTGTGTAGGGTCCGTTCATGAGCCTCATCTACCATCACCACACTGGAGAAAGAACAGGGGAGCAGTGAGCCAGGGAAGTTGGCCAGGAGAGGACGATAGGATCCCCTGGACGAGGGCACAGAGGGAAGCAAAGAGCCAAGGGTGAATGTGGGGGAGGGGGTTCCAAAGAGAAGCCAATCACCCCAGTTAGGGAAGACAAACAGAAAGTTAAAGAAGACCAAGACCCCGAAGTCTGCAGCTCATCCCAGCCTAGGAAGACAACAACAGTCAAGATTTGGAGGCCGGAAGCCAAGGCCAGGACAAGTCAGACATCCTCTCCGGGTCAGAGTTACGGGTCTGTTGGAGTCAACAGAAGTAAGTGTACGTTTTAAAGGGGAGAAAAAGTGAGAGCAGGGCCTCTTTGAATAAGGCTGGGCTCCCCGGGCTGGCTGGGAATGAACAGCCAGACCCAAGCCACCATGATTCGAACAGCCTAGGAGCTGTCGGGCATCCCTGTTGGCCCTGCTGCCTCCTTCTAGGGACAGGGACCAGGTAAGCCTTTCTACCCCAACCTTAGAGGGCTCTGCAGGATTTTTGGTCTCCTCCTTAGTTATCTGGGTGCCACGTCTTCTTTATCCTTGCTCAAGTCTTTGGATTTCCAGGTGACAGCCAAGCCTGCAGGAGCTCACCCCTGACTATGCTGGTGAAGTCCCCGGCTGTTCTACAAAGCAGGCTGGCTTGATGGGAAAACCCTATGCCCCAAACACTCTTGCACTGGCTAGCCTTCCATGGGTTCTGAGATTTTTGCAAGGCATGTGAAGGTTCAAATCATATTTATCCTATTGCTCCATTTGTGATCTTCTAAGACCAGAACTTCACAGCCTCCTAAAAGTTGAGAAAGCTCATATTGCTCGGCTGGCCTGACCCCACCACCAGCCACGCACAGACCCCTCCTCCTCCTCCAAGCCACTCCAAGACCTGGGCCAGAGGCCCAAGAGTGAGGGCCCCAACACAGCGACAGCCCCTCCAGTCCCCACCACTCTGGCTCCATAGTACTGCGCTGAAATCTGTCTCCCTGTAACCTCTCCCATCATTGCTAGTTGCGCTCTCTGGGGTCACGTGAAACAAGTCTGACTTTCCATGTGAACCAGGAGGTCTCCCCTGAGTTTCTCCTCTCTAAGCTGAACATTCTAAGTTTCTTCAAAGGGTCTTCATGTGGCTTTTTAAGTCTCCACAGCACCACTCTACCTCCCTGGTGTTTTCTAAACTCTGGGGAGCGAGGGAGAGGACTTCTCTGCAGTCTCTTCTACCTCATCTCCATGGCACCTGCAGGTCAGTCCTAGGACCGTCCACACCATAAAGATTCAAGAACTGGTGGGCTAGTCAGAAGACAAAGGCCAAACTAGCTGGATGAGAAGAAAGCAGAGAGAGGCCAGAGATTAAAGGAGCCAGAGGAAGGTGCTGAAGGGGAGGAAGGCAGTAGACTGGGTGGAAGAGAAGCTGGTGGCTCTCTTGTGGGAGACGGGAACACTATGCGTACCTGTAACTTGCAAGGTCGGGTTCAGAGAGGAACTCCCGGAGGAGCATCCCGTCCGTCATGTAGCGGAGGGCAGTTCGCTCTGATGTGCAGTCCTCAAAGCGGATGCTGTAGCCAACCTGTCAAAAGGGCCATTAGCAATCGAGATTGGACTGGTGCTCCCTGAAGGGAGTGCAGGCCTAGGGGATGAGGGGTCAGTGCCTGGACCTGTGGTGTGAAGCCCTGCGCAGTGTGGGGTGTGTCTCAGACCCTACAGGCTCCCCTCCCCCCTCAGTCCCCATAGATCTTACCTCATTCCCAAGCTTCACACCCATCTCCCGGGCCACCCGGGCAGCCACACTCATGGCCGCTACTCTCCGGGGCTGGGTACAGGCAATCTTCATTCCCTTCTTTGTGTAACCCTGAATGACAAGAGGTTTTCCCTTGGCTAAATACACTCCTGGGGGGGAAGGGGGAGCACCTGGGTGGCTCAGTCAGTTAAGTGTCTGCCTTTGGCTCAGGTCACGATCCCAGGGTCCTGGGATCAAGCCCCGCAGCGGGTGCCCTGCTCAGCGGGTGCCCTGCTCAGCGGGGAGTCTGTTTCTCCCTCTCCCTCTGCCCCCCCACCCCTGGCTCGTGCTCTCTCTCTCAAATAAATAAAACCTTTAATAAATAAATAAATATGCTCCTGGGGCCCAAGATAATTCAGAGAAAGAAGGTATAAATGTACAACAGGGCAGGGGAAAAGGAGGGAACAGAAACTGAAAAGCAGACCACCAGGGCAAACATAAGGATGGCAGACCCTAGGGCCCTCAAGGGCATCCTCACCCAGCCCTGAGAGTCCCAGTCTTTTGGGTAATCACATTCAGGCTCACCTAGATTTGAGTTGGAAAAGGACAGACCAGCTGGGGCAGACCCAGAAGCAAAGGGGAACAAAAAAAGGTGAAAAAGCAGGAAACCGAGTCCTCTGACTCCTTGTTCTTTGGCCCTTGCAGAGGAACGATGGCTGAGCTGGTTGGTGTGGGAAGGTCCCCAGCCCACCATCTATCCGTCTACAGGTCTTTCCGATAGGAACGTTGGAACTAGACACAGACATGGTAGCAGAAGTGAGAACAGAAACATAAAAAGGGTTTGTCCTTATTCTTAAGAAACTCACAATTTAGTGGAAAAGACTAAATGACTAAAGATGGAGAAGCTAAGTGACTACTCAAAACATGTAAAAGGAGGTCTGACAGGACTGTGCTTGTCAAGGGTCAGTGCTCGGCAGCCTGGAGGGTGTGGATAACTGTACCTCCTCAAAGAGATACTGCGGGATCTGGGTGGTCTTCCCGGAGCCCGTCTCACCCTCGATGATGAGGACCTGATGATCAGCAATAGCTGCCAGGAGCTCCTCGCGGAAGGGGAACACTGGGAGGCTACGGCGGACAGCCTGGATGGACTCCTTCTGCTGGGCCTGGGTTGGAGGCGGTGGGCCTGATGGCTCCTGAGGAGAAAGAGGGGCGTGAGCTTCAGGGCCGGCTTCCCGACCTCCTTAGAATGTCCCAGAGTTCTCCCGCTCACCTCGTCGCCCTGGAGCTGAGTGGCCCGGACAAACTCGATGGTCTCCTCTTCCTCCAGCACCAGCTGATACTTGGGCTCCTGGGAAGCAGCATCTCGGGCCCCAAACTTCAGGGATGCTGCCCCCAGCCGGGCCTCCTCCCAGCGTCGCTGCTCCTCCCCAGGGGCGCCTGATTCCTCCTCCACTAGATCCATAGCTCGTGCTGGCTGTGGAAAGAAGGACATGTGAAGACAGAGGAATGCCCTCTTCCCAGGCCTCTCCTTCCCGGTCACTATCCCCACCCACTGGGAAAGGCAAGACAAAGGGGTCAGCCAAGGCACTGTCCAGTGCCCTGAAGACTTCCCTCCCCTCAGCTTGGGGAGCAGGGCTGAAGTGGACTCCGCTTTGCCTCACCTGGCCTCGGGTCTCCTCGGGCATGTGGTAACGATTGGTGGCCTCCAGCTTCTCCTGCTCCCCAGCCGCCCGGTACTCTCGGGCCAGATCCCGAACTCGCCGCTTGTATTTGAGCTCCCGCCGTTCATGTCGGCTCAGCTCCACATCCCCAAAAAGGAACTCCTCATCAGCCAGCTCTGCCTCCAGGTCCTCAAGCTTCTCGCGCTCCCGCTTAGCCAAGTACTCTCGGCGGGATTTTTTCCGCAGCTCAGGGACCTGGGTTAGGACAGGGCAGCCAAATCTTCATCTCGCTGGGACAGCAACCCCTTCCTTACCTGTCCGTAAGCGTTACAAATTCCCTGACAGGCCAGCAGTGGCCCTTGGCAATGTCCAACCTGACTAATGGTGTGCCCCAAGCTGGGCCCGTCTGAAAGCCACACACTGACCCTACACACTATCTTCTAGCAGCACAATCCTGCTGGAAGGTCCTTCGGGACAGCCTCACCATCTTTGTCAACATAGATACACTAGGGCAATTATTTGAATATTTTAGATTTTCTTCTTACTATTTTATTCGACTTAGTGGAAAGGAGGAAAACAAAAGGGCTAATACCAGCATTTAGAAGCACAGGTCTCAAACTGAAAACAAGTGGGACTATTAGAAACCACTGGATGTGCCAACAGGAGGTAATCTTCAGCCTCGGTTAGATGCTCCCTGGTCTGAAATCAAATGACTATAGTTTGGGAAAAGGGGGAAAATACACTATATACAAAAAACTGGAAGTATAGCATCAGAGAGTGTTATAAAGCAAGATGTAATCAGAAATGCTTAGCCTCTGGGACTAACGTCTCCCCGATTCATACAATGTGTCATCTGGCTTCTACATGTTTCCTTTGACAGGTGCTTTTCGGGACAGATTATGGATGATAGTAGAAGACTGGGCACATCCGTAAGGCCTTTCTCAGCTCTCACCATGAGCCCTCCCACTGTGGCAACAGTGTCTCCTCCCTTTGATCAAAACAACGTCCTCTACTATGGTGGCAAAACCTCATCAAGCCCTCTCCTTGGGGGCCCCAATCCTATTTAATTGCTTGGCTTTTCTTGTTTGTTCTATGAAGACTTAAAAGGAGCTCATGCTCATGATCTGAGTACCACAATCAAATACTCTTTCAACCTGATGGAGGGAGCAGATGCATGTTCTTTTAAAATATGGGCAAAAAAACCAGAGCAATTTGAGGGGCCCCTGGATGGCTCAGTCAGAAGAGCATGCAACTCTTGATCTCGGGGTCCTGAGTTCGAACCCCACACTGGGTGTAGAGATTACTAAAAAAAAATAAAATAAATAACCACCAAAAAAAACAAAACAACCCAACTCAGTGCAATTTATCAAAAAGAAAAATGATATGCAACTATAAAACATTGAGAAATAAAAATTCATGAGTCCAATGTGACACACATACACACAAAAAATGGGAAAAAAGCTTTTGTTACCAGTGAGGTGACTGTTACATCAAACTCCTTTCTCTCAAAATTAGTAATTAAACGTTTCCTCTGCCCTTTTTTTTTTTAAGATTTTTTTGTTTATTTGTTTGCTTATTTATTTATTTTTCAGAGAGAGAGAGCATGAGTGGGAAGGGGAAGAGAGGGAGAGAGAGAATATCAAGCAGACTCTGCGCTGAGCTCAGAGCCCAACGCAGGGCTCAATCTCCCAACCCTGAGATCATGACCTGAGCTGAAATCAATTCAGATGCTTAACTGAGCTCCCCGGGTGCCCCATTTGCTCTGCCTTTTAAGAAGGAATTGTAGCTCATGCCTAGTTTTTTTTTTTTTTTTAAAGACTTATTTACTGGGGCACCTGGGTGTCTCAGATGGTTAAGTGTCTGCCTTTGGTTCAGGTCATGATCTCAGGTCCTGGGATTGAGCCCCACATTGGGCTCCCTGCTCAGCGGGGAGTCTACTTCTCCCTCTCTCCCTGTCTGTCCTCCTGCTTGTGCTTTCTCTCAAAGGAATCAATAAAATCTTAAAAAAAAAGACTTATTTATTTATTTGAGAGAGAGCGAGAGAGCAATGCAAGCAGGGGAAGGGAAGAAGATGAGGGAGAAGGAGAGAAGCGGACTTCTCCCTGAGGGCAGGGTCCCACGTGGGGCTGGATCTCACCACCCTGAGACCATGACCTGAACCGAAATTAAGAGTCTGACACTTAACTGAGTCACCCAGGTGCCCTGCTCATTCCTAGTTGTTAAGGAAAAGTTCTTCTTTACATAAAAAGCTTAGCCAACAAATGTAGAATGAACGTCAGGCTCTAAAAATCACCTTGTTGCAATCCCCAGTGAAATAGCAGATTTAGGAAAGGATTAGTAGTGGTTATACTAAAACCATTAGATGGGGCGTCTGGGTGGCTCAGTCGTTAGGCGGCTGCCTTCGGCTCAGGTCATGATCCCAGCGTCCTGGGATCGAGCCCCACATCGGGCTCCCTGCTCGGCAGGACGTCTGCTTCTCCCTCTCCCACTCCCCCTGCTTGTGTTCTTGCTCTCGCTATCTCTCTCTCTGTGTCAAAAAAAAAAAAAAAAAACCCATTAGATGAAGGGCTGTTGGCAGAAACGCTACCTGCACTAACAGGTACACAGTCAGTGCGTCCCCCCGATGTGGTGTAATGTAAAGTGCACATCGCCACCCAAGAAGTGTTCTGTCACAACTTTTTAATCTGAGTTGAGACAAGATTTAGACTCAACTTCCACTTTAAAGGAAGCAGGGCATAGAAGAACTCAACACCAAAAGGTAAGAGTCAGATAAATCCAGAATGTGGGGCATGGTACAAGATGAGAGTGAGAGAGGATAGAAAACAAATAAACATAAGAGACTGAACCACCAGATGCAATGCATGAAACCTGACTGGGTTCTGGTTTGGAAAGAGCAGATACTAAAGACATTCTGGGGAAACTTTATTGTGAACAGGTTCCTTATTGATACATGAGAATTACTGTTCATCTTCTGGGGTATGACAATGGCACTGTGGTTTTAGAGGACAGAGTCTTCATTCTTAGGAGAGACATACTGATGGGATAAAATGCCATGATGTCTAAACTCCTTTAAAAAGCTGACAAAGAAAAAAAAAAAAGCCCACACTTACACGGCCATGGCAAATACTACACATGATATTAACCATTTCTGAATATTAGTAGTTTCTATATGAGAGTTTATTATATTCCTCTCTTAACTTTCCTGTTTGTTTGGAAGTTTTCATGATTGGAAAAGGAAAGAAAAAATAAATTCTGGCAAATAAAAACATTGCGCCCATACTGACAGATGGCTCAGAAGTCTCTGACCACAGCCATTCTGTGGGGTGGGTCCTGAGATGGCTTGGCCAGGAGAGACCTGAGTTCCACTAGGCCGTTTTTAGGACATCAAGAGTCTCAAAATTCTTTTGAGAATCCGAAGTGTGACCTTACTTGGGAAGACCAGGCCTTTGGAAAACCGCTTACCCTACCAAAACTCACACCATGACAAGTTCAGTTCATGAATTACAAGGGCTGTGTCCCCATTCAGAAGCAAGAAACTCAGGAAACTAGAGGAAGATCACTAGACCATGTTTGGGATGGAGGGATTAGGTGGCAGGAAGGTATCTGGAATTGGGTGTGCCCAAGCTGACTGGACAGCACACACCTCAGCACTGGGACGGCTGCCCTGCCCCCGTCCTCCAGCCAGCCCCTTGGATGTTCCAGCTGACCTCTGATTACATCTCCTTAAATCTCAGGGCAAGCTCACATCTCCCTCACGAACACAGTGTGATTCAGATCCTAACGAGTAAGACGGTTTGTGGGCAGCTTCTTCCCTTCTACAACTTAAGTAAGTCCTTGGCAGGCTCCTGTCAACACAGACCTGACAGCCCATCAGCATCCCCACTGTACTTCCTTTGTGTCCTTTTTCCCTACCCCAAACCACTTCAAAAGAAAGTTTTTTCTTTTGCCTTCTGATGGTTGGCTTCCTGGGCACTAGGACTCACCATGGATTTCCGGTCTTCCTCGGCCATCTTGAGGCGCTTCTGAGCCTCTTCATAAGCCTAGGAGAAGAAACCAAGAGTGGAGGGCTGTAAGGCCAAAATCTCCCACAGCCACTCCCCCTCTAGAATCACAAGGCTCATTCGGATTTACCATTGCATAAAGAAATGGCCCTTCTCAGTGAGGAATCTCAAGGGTTACAGGTTCGGCAGAGGGTCGCCATAGCCAGAGGACCCACAAAGGTCCTCTTACTATAGAGATGAACACCACCAGAGGCCATCCTGGTCTTCCCAGAGATCGATATCTCTGCAATCACACCCAACCTCAGATTTGACCCAGAGATCTTCCTGCGGATTTACGGAACATGCTGCTCTTATGTACCTTCTTGTCTGACCGCTCCAGGACATTGCGAGTTCGATCCTTGTCCCGCTGCCGAACCCGCTCAGCGAAGGCATCACGTTCCTCCAGGTCCTGAAGGCGCTCTCGCTCAGTCCGCTCCCACTCATCCTCCGACTCTGGCTTCCCAGTCTGCTGTTTACTCCCCCTGCAGCCCAGCCCGAAGGATTACATAAGGCCTCCTAGGAGGCTTATTGCCCCCTCATCCCCTGTCCCATCCTTTCTCATTCTGACTTACCCTGTCTTTCTCTTCCCTTTCTCAGAAATCTCTTCCTCCTCTTCTTCCTCCTCCTGACATTTCTTCCTGAGGTGTTTCCGTTTTTTACGCTTCTTCTGGAGACTGCTCCCAGCTCTACCTATGGTCTCCTCGCTGCTCTCCTCACTGTCTTCCAGCAACTTATAGGATCGGTTCTTCTCCAGCAGGGCTCGTGCCTCTCGCTCGGCCACCCGAGCTGGCTTTTCTACCACTGCCTTCCGTGGTACCTATCAGAAGGGAAGATAATGGGATGTGAGCAACTCCTGATCTCTGCCAACCTACTTTGCCCCATTCCGAATTTAAGGAATGACCTGATCTTAAACCAGCCTTGTCTCTTTTCCCCATGGCTTCACACCATGTTCATCAGCCTGAATTGGGCTTCTCAGCTTCTGAATCTCCTTGCAGTCATTCACTTAACAAACATTTATTGAAGCCTGTGTGATGCACCAGGTACTTACTAGGGACCAAAAGACAACAATCCCTGCCCTCATGGAGTTTATTTTACATTCTCAAAACCAATTCTCAGTTGTTCAGCCTCTGTTCTTCACCACGACTAAGTCATCCCAATGCGAGAACTGATATGCTACAAGAACTGGTTTGCAGAGGCCTGTCATAAGCTTGGCACTGTACCAGATTCCAGAATACATGCTAAACAGATATACATAAAGTCCCTATGCTCATACTACTTAGGTTCTAAACTCATCTCCCGCCAGGCACCAGATGTGACAACCAAAGCAGGCTATTTGCCATTCTATGAACATGTTGAACACTTTCTCTCTTGCATATACTTAACTAAGCACCTGTTCTGTAAGGTGCTGTCAGGTAGGAGAAATACAAAGACAAGAAATACAGAATCCTGTCCTCCAGGAGCTCACCTTTACAGCTTTATTCCTTCCCCCTTCTCTATCAGACAGATTTTGGGGAATCTTTGGGGCTGCTTCCCCTGATCACTACCCCTACCTTTTTATTTCTTTCTTTTTTTTAAAGATCTTATTTATTTATTTGACAGAGACACAGCGAGAGAGGGAACACAAGCAGGGGGAGTGGGAGAGGGAGAAGCAGGCTTCCCGCGAAGCAGGGAGCCCGATGTGGGGCTCGATCCCAGGACCCTGGGATCATGACCTGAGCTGAAGGCAGACGCTTAGCGACTGAGCCACCCAGATGCCCCACTACCCCTACCTTTTCTGCCTACAGCACTTCTCACACATCTTTTCTATAGCCTCACTATTCAAAGTGTAGCCTGTGGACCATGGGATTCACCTGGAAACTAGTTAGAAATGCAAAAACTAAGATCCCATCCCGAAACTACCTAATCGGAATCTGCATTTTAATAAGGGTCCTGGATGAGTCGCATGCATATTAAAGTTCGAGAAACACTACTCTATAACACTTAACGCTCCTTGAACTTCTTCCCAGAGCTGGACGTCCAGCACGTAGCACAGTACCCAGTCGACAACGGACAAAAGCTAGGTGCTTGCGAACTGAGCTTGCTTAATTCCCGGAAGGACAGTTAGCCCAGCCTCACCTGGACGAATAACCTGGGGCCCCTCCCCTGCTCCACCTTCTCTCCCACCACTCCCACGCCTGGCCCCGCCCCGCCCCTCTCGACACCTTGTTCCAGAGCCTCAGGGCGAAGTCCCGCGCTGGCCCGCTGAGGTCCAGAGTATCGGTGTCTCGCAGGCGCTGCACAAACTCCTCGGCCGAGGCGCAGCGCTGCGCGGTACCAATCAGGAACTGGGCTACGTGCCGCTCGCTCAGCCCCAGCACCGAGTGCAGCTCGTCCTGCACCCAGCGCTCCAGCCCAGCCGGCGTCGCCATGATGACCCACGCTGGCCCGTTTCCGGCCCTGAACTGTCTCGAGTAGCCACGCTGGTGGTTGGGCCCGTCGGAGGCCCGGAGGCCTGGAACCCTGGGCTGGAGTCTGAGTTCCGCAAAGGACCTGCCTTAGGACCTTGGGGTTCGGTTTCCAACAGCCCGAAACCGTCTTCCCGGATCGGGGAGACCGGAAACGGCCGGTCATTTCCGGCCTAAGCACTACGGTGGCCGAGCGAGTTCAAACTTAACGGAACCGCACGTGAAGCTCGGGGTAAAATTTTATTTCCGCCTCCAGTAAGTCTCTCTGTCGCCCTCTGGTGGCCGGCCTGTGAATGCCTCGCTCATTCAACAGACGCTGTGTGCTAAGCACAATTTTAGTTGCTGGGGATATGGCAAGGAACTAATTAGACAAAAATCCCTTACTGAAGGGAGGGGGAAAGACAAGATACATAATAAATAAAACATATAAGTCCTATGGAGCCAAAAATAATGCAAAGTTTGTGTGTTGGGGGGGAGATTATATCTCAAACTGGAAGGTTAGGCCCATGTTGATGAAAGATTAGCCCATGCCGATTAGAAGTAACCTTTGCTAGTACGGGCACCTGCGGCAGGAATGAATACAGGTTAGACATAATCGGAGACCTCCAAGCAGGAAGAAACAGGATCTGGGGGGAAAAACCAAAGGTGCGCTCTCTTCTTGGTGCTCTCAGAAAGGTGCCTTTTTTTTTTTTTTTTAAGATTTTATTCATTTATTAGAAAGAGCACGAGTGGGGTACGGGGCAGAGGGAGAAGCGGACTCCACACAGAGCAGGGAGCCAGACGTGGGGCTCCATGCGGAGACCCCGGGACCATGACCTGAGCCAAAGGCAGACGCTCAACCGAATGAGCCACCCAGGCGCCCCAGAAAGTTATTTTTCAAAACCTCCAACTATGGAATGCGTAAACTGTGTTCTGTGTTTCTGCTAACAGCTTGATTAATTCACTGGTGGTGCTTATAAGCAGAGCTGGGGCGCCTGGGTGGCTCAGTCGGTTAGTCGTCTGCCTTCAGCTCAGGGCATGATCCTGGAGTCCCAGGATCGAGTCCAGCATTGGGCTCCCTCCTCAACGGGGAGTCTGCTTCTCCCTGTGCCCCTCACTCTGCTCATGTTCTCTCTCTCTCTCATTCTCTCTCAAATAAATAAATAAAATCTTAAAAAAAAAAAAGCAGAGCCTGTTACCCTATTCTGCTTATCTGATGTCGATTTGACCCCCCTTCATACTTCTATGAGTAATTGGACTTATCAGACACTACTGTTGGGAAATGAAATACTGCTATTCCAATAGCTCCTTAGCATTGACTTCTTAGATGCATTGTTTTGTTTCTGAGATGGACTGTGGGCACCCCTGGCATCTCAGAGCCTCCAGCCTCTCTGGTTTCCTAGGTCAAAACTGATTAGGATCTTTACCTAATTAGCTACTAGTGTAAGCATTGTTTCCCTCCATACTCATACCCTCTCTGAACTGGCTCATTGTTTTAACACCTTCATTGTTCCTTTGCTAGTAAATTAAAGACTTTGGTATATGTTTAAGATCAATTTGTCTTATTTATTTTGTACTTAGTAAAAGGGAGTCTCCTCTGACTAAGCTGAGAAAAATTCCTGTAGTGGTAGGACTATAACTACTCAAACATGTCTTTACTACCCTAGCAAACTGAAAAAACGAAGAAAAAAAGAAGACCTGATAAGTAAACTATAGACCTGCCACATTTGTAGAAGAGAGAAATTCTTTGAAATGGGAAAATCTCCCTATTAACTATAGTTGGGCAACAAAGCCATGAATTATCAATGGTTCTTAATTAAACCTTTAGGAATATAAAACCCATTGTCAATGAGAGACCCTTTTTCAGGAAACTACATATACTCTATTGCAGCAGTTTTAGGCTTATTATTTATGGTCTTGAGTCTTGGAGTAAATGCCCCCAGATTAGCCATTGTTATACACGAACTAGCTGGCTGCTTCTAGCAGGCTTCTAAGTAAATACTGGAATCCTTCAATTCGGAGTGTCCTCTGCTTCCAGTATTTTAGCTCTTTTCATCTATTCATATAGTTGTTCATTCATTCATTCTAGTAATCACTTTGCAAGCGTACTAGGAATAATTTTGTGCGGCGTGGGGATGCTTCATTAAACCCGACTGACAGTCTGCTCTTGCGGCACTCCCAGCTTTTTTTTTTTTTTTAAAGATTTTATTTATTTGACAGAGAAAGACACAGCGAGAGAGGGAACACAAACGGGGAGTGGGAGAGGGAGAAGCAGACTCCCTGCCAACCAGGGAGCCCGATGCGGGACTCGATCCAGGGACTCCAGGATCATGACCTGAGCCGAAGGCAGTCGCTTAACCAACTGAGCCACCCAGGCGCCTGGCACTCCCAGCTTAGCGGATTCCTCCTACCCTCCCTCAAATCAGTCCTTTTCCTGCCAGTCCTTTGAGAAACAATGACGGGGCTCTCCCAGAGCCCTTTCTTGATGTCAACGCTGAGTTCCTGTTCCATCTCCATCATTTTTCCCTCCCGCAGCCCTGGCCACTACCTCTTCATGGCCAATAGGAAGATGGGAGAGGCTTGGAATGAGGAACACACAGCCTCCCCCACCAGCACTTTTTTTGCTAAAGAAGGAAAAGCAGCAGGAGAGTTGGAGAGATCTCCATTTTATTATGGAAAACTTAAAAAACAAACAGGCAGTGGATGAGGAAGGAGAAATGGGGAAGACGAATTGAGGTGCCTTGTTAGTCACCCCTCACCCTTGCAATTCAATTCAGTTGTGGACCACTAGGAGGAACAGAATTAAATAACTGGATGGGGGTACAGGGCTAAGATTCCCAGCCTTCCTTCTTGGGGAAAACTGAGGTACAGTAATACTGAGCAAAAGTGGAGGAAGCCACGCCCCCAATGAGGCAACTGCCAGGGACAGGGGGGAGGGTTCCACATGGACTCAACAAGTAGGTATGGTTGTAAACCTGGGACTTTGGCAGGTGGGGCTGGGAGCTAATGGGGTTTGTAAACCAGGCTGGTGGTCAAGAGAGGAGGCAGGAGGTGTAAACAAAGGGGCAGTGGCCTAAGGAATAGGAAGGAGAGGGGCCTGTAAATGGAGTGGGGGCAGGCTACCCAGGATGAGTGCTTAAATCCTAAGAGCCCCCAGGGGGTGGTGGGGAGGCAAGGGAGGCTGAAGGGAGAGTGTACCTGCCCGGGGAGATGGAGGAGGTGCTCCACCTCCAGCCCCAGTGAGCACTGTGATCTTCCTCAGGACTTGATGCTCACTTTTGAGTCACCTCGGATGCCACCAGCATGTCTGACACACTCATACCAGGGACCTTTGGTGAGGGTGGAAACTGGGTGACTAGCTCTGCTCCCATAAACAGGATGAGGAAAGCAAGTTGGAAGATGTTGGTTGCTCTTCCCGGCCAAGCTCATGTTCGGGGTCTCTCTGTTCTCAGTCTTCTGGGCTCCAGGATCTTCAGTTCTGGGAAAGGGTGGGTATAGGCCCTATGTTGAAAGAGGGTCACCTCCGGCAGGACTCATCTGTGGGAGAGGAGGCAATAATGGTAGAGAATGAGTGAGGGCCTCTGCCCCCCATCTTCCCCACTTACTCTCTGCACTGATCTTCCATGCCGAGCGCTTGCTACTGCAGGAACAGTGGCCATCACCCATTTAGCCTGCGTTCTGTGCCAGGCCTTCTTACAACTTGTTTAATCCCACAATAACCCCAGATGAGGCGAAGTCATTTGATGTCCAGCCATAGTTCCAAGGTGCTTCACAAAAATTACTGAACCCTCTCAGTAAACCCCAGGAAGTGGTTATTATTAACCCCATTTCATAATTAATAAACGGAGACCAGAGGTGAGTGCTTTCCCGGAGGTTACATACACCACAGGTAAGAGACAAGATGGAATTCAAATGCAGGCCTGTCTGACCCAAACCCTGTGTTTTAACCACACTAGAGCGCTCAGAAAGAGTCCTGGTTTTGAAATCTGGATACCCCTTGTGCACTTCAGTTCCCAAGACCTCGATTTCCCCACTTGTAAAGGAGCGGGTGGGGCTAGAGGTCAAGTCTCTTCCAAGCACCAACGTTATTAATTCCTCCCCTTCCCTCCTGGACCGCAGTGTCCGCTATGAACACCAGGGGGTGCCCTCGGCCAGGCCGAGCCTTCGCTCACCCACGATCAGGGCCTTGGTGCGCAGCCCGCCCTGGAGCTCCCGCTGTAGCAGCAGCAGGTCCTCCTCATCCTCTTCGTCTTCGGGTTGGGCCGCTGGGGGGCTGGGGGCACTGGGAGCCTCAGGCTCCGGGCCCAACTCCTCCAGCACCGAACTCTCGGAGGGGTATTGGTACGTGGTCTCCAATGCTGTCTCGCTGAAGGAGATCTTGAGCTGAGAGTGGGAGAGAAACGGGGAGGCCCCGAGTTTAGCCCGGGGAAGCTCCCAGGGGGGCACACGCAAGGTGGGGGAGGGGAGCTGGATTTGGGCACCCTACTGACTTTGCCCTGCGCATCCACTCTGGGACCCAGGGGTCGAGTTTTCCTTTTGACACAGGCTCTCTAATCCCAGAATTTCCCTCTTCTATGCTATCATTTCCAAAACATCAGACTGGCCTGAGCTTTGGCAGAGGTGGCAGAGGTGGGTAATACAGGACTCGGGTCCCTACTTTTTAGACTGTGGGTGGTGGAAGAGTAAAAAGAAATGAAGATACATGAAGATAACTCCTGTAATCAGAACTGACTCTTTGGGCATCGTGAGGGCAACCAGGAAGGCTTCCTGGAGGAGGAGGGAAGTTTGACTGGCAGGAAATAGCTGGCTGGAGGGAGTCCCAGGCAAAAGCAAAGCCAAGCACTTTGGTTTCCACACCCTCAGCCCCTTGAAGTTCCTGGGAAACCCAGGACCCTGGACACCTGTGCCCTCCTGCTCGCCTCACTCCTCTATAGCTGGAGTGGACCGACAACAAAGTGGGGCTGGGGCCTGGGAGGAAAGAAGAGACCTATCAGGCCCAGAGGAAACAAGACTCTCCCCTAACACGCAGGGGAGATGGGCCCTTGAGTCCCTGCAAGGTACAGCTGGGGGAGGTGACAGGGGCAGAGAGGAAAGTCCATGCAAACACAGGTTGGGGTGGAGAATGCACCAGGAGAGGCATGCAGAGACACAGGCAAAAGGCCAGAGGGGACCTGGAGGGGGCAGAAAATCCACAAACACACTGTCCCAAG